AGTGCAATGGAAACACAGAACAGTTCGGGAAGCGACTTGGGAGAAGGAGTCGGACATGAGGCAGTCATATCCGTATCTGTTTTGACTCAGTTTACTTTGGGAATGTCGAGGACGACATTTTTCTTAAGGTAGGAAGATTGTGAAACCCTTATGTTTGAAAAAAAAAAAATTTGTGTTGTTAGTACGGGACGAACCATCTGTATGAACTGAAGAAATATTGAAAATCTGTATGGTTAGTACGTACGAACTGCCAGTACGAACAGAGAAAATATGCATATTCGTCTGTACGAACCTAGAAGGGTCGGGACGAACGGTCGGGACGAACCCAGACAGAGAGTTTCGTCCAGGGACGAAGAAATTGGAATTTATTTTCGTCTGGACGATTGAGTCTAGAGAAGATCGTCCCGGGATGAATCGGGACATCATCCGGGACGATCCTGCTTAATAAATATCTGAATAGTGCTGATTTTGAAGAGAGAGAAAGCCCATGAGAGAGAAAAACAAAGGAAAAAGAAGAAAAATGGATTTTTGAGCGACTTCGACTCGTTTTCGTCCGTCGCTGTAGTTTGGAAAGTTGATCGACTCGAGGTAAGGCACATTCCACCTTTCTCAATTTTCAGAAACGAGAATTTTGACGACTTTTCTGTTCCGGATTTTATTTCCGTTAGCGAATTTCTGGTATTATTTTCTTCTGACAAAGGTTTTACCGCGTAACTTTTGATATGTTTCTGAGATGATAATTGTGCACGTTTTAGATATTTTCTGAAAGATTTTTACCGGATATTTTGAATTCTGCGGCGTTTTAATTGAATTGCAAGTTATGAGGATGTTGAAAAATGTTACTTCAGTACAGTGAAAGTCTTATAATGTTGTTGTGAATATTATGTGATAATTTGGTAAATTTCTGAATCTGTGAATTTTGTATAAATTCCGTATACTACCGTTATACCGCTGATTTTTCGTACAAATTCTGATTTTTCTGAATTGATTCATTGAATGAATTGAAGTGTTTGTATGCTATCAGAAGGGAGTTATATCAGAAGAGAGTTATAAGGGGCCAGGATCCTTTGAGATTTTATCTGTGTCAAGGAAATCTGAAATGAGCTCTGAAATCTGAAAACAAGTTCTGTTCCGAAATTCTGAATATCTGTTCTATTATGTTCTGGTGCTATAAGCACAAAGGGAGGCATAAGGGGCCAGAATTCGTTGAGATTCTGTCAGTGTCAGGAAAGGGATGCATAAAGGGCCAGAATCCATTGAGATTCTGTTAGGGACAGGGAATCTAATATGAATGTGATTTTATCTGATTTATGTACGATTCTGGTTATTCCGTACGATTCTATCTGCTCTGTGACATGAAAGATTTATGATATCTGTTCTGAACTCTGATTTGAAATCTGATTTCTGTATCAGTTGTTTGATTTCTATTGATCAAGTATCTGTTCTACGATTTCCGTACGGCTATTTTCTGATGTGAATTTCTGACTATTTTGATTGGTGAGTGATGTCTTGCTGAGCTGTTAGCTCATCCTTATTTTCTACGTGGTTTTCAGGTTCTGGAAAAGGGAATGAGGTCTTGGACTAGGAGTTCTGTGTCTGATCTGAGATTAGGTATTTTGTACTTTTGATTTTGTACAGTCATGACTTTTCTGTTCTGTTATGTTCCTTCTGTCTGTAGTCGTGCACTGTATCTGTATATGATTGTTTTAATGAAAGAAAAGATAGATGAAATGTTCTATATTTGGATGATTATAGTAGCTCTGTGTTTTTCTGTCTATTTAATATTTGGAAGAAAGTTCTGAAGCAAATTCCAAAGCTATATCCTGGATTTCAACAGTTGTGTCGAGGCCCGATGCGAGCGGGATCCATCCCGGTCGGGTTGGGTCGTGACAGTCGCCTTAGATGATTTGGACACATAAAATGCCAGCCTTCTGATGACTCAGTTAGGAGATTACATATATTGGATTTGACCTATGCTAAGAAAGGTAGAGGACCTAAAAAAGACTTACCTAAAAAATGTTAAAAATAACCTTTTTTATTAAATTTAAATGAGAATTTGACTCTTGACATGACACAATGGAGAAAAATGATTCATGTAGCTGACCCCACATATTGGGATAAAGGCTTAGTGGTGTTGTTGTAAAAAATTTAAAATATATCTTATTTTGAATTAGTTTCAATCAAAATTTAAATGAAATATAGGTTTAACTTTCCACCAAATTAAAATTCGCATATATAAGAGGAAATGAAAAGCTGGGTGTGCAGGAGAATTATAAAAGGTTGTTGAGAAACAAAAATAGGGGGGGGGAGAGAATAAGAAAGAGAAGAGAAGTTTTCAGAGAACATTCAAGAAAAGATCTTCCAGTATGACTTAAATATTTATGTTTATTAGCTTCTTTTATGTGATTCTTGAATTTCTTAAAGATAGTGAGGCTTTCCTATTTGTTAGACTTGAGAGATTTGAGGCTTCTCATTATGGTGAGATTTCATGTACTTGGATTTGGGTTTAGTGCTTTTCCTCTTTCATATTTGTTTGTACATTTGTGTAGCAACTTAATAGTGGGTCCATTCCTTTCTCTAAACTCCTAAGGATGTAATTTTTTTTTTAATCGAATAATAAAAATGTTTCTATCTTGTTGTGGTGATTATTCTCTTTGCTATTACTTTGTGCACCCATAACATTCATTCCTAGAAGACACTTCCACATAAACACGCAGGCTCTTCCTAATAATTGGCATTAGAACTTAATGAGAAATCTAGAGGAGATAAAGAGTTTAATTGAGAACTTTAATAGCTCGAAGGGTCTTGTGCAATGGTGGAGAAAGATGTAAAGTATGTTAATCCAATACGGACTTGCGAAGGTGCTTATGGGGTATTTGAATATGCATAAGAGTGAACGAAATAGATAGATGAAAAGGTTTTATCGATGATCCATCTATGTCTGCTCAAGGAGATCTGATGAAAATATTGGAGAAAATAACTACGAAAGGGTTGTGGCGTAAGTCAAAATCTTTGTGCATGACCAAAAATCTCTCCAATAAATATTATTAGAAGGAGAGATTATACTTACTTTGCATATAAGAAGGTACACCCATTTAACATCTCAATGAGAGAGTTGATGTGGGTTAAGATTTATTATTTTTATAAGCATTTTCACAACACCTAGTTATATGGCTTAAATGATGTTAACAATCCACTTATTTGCAAGGATGTGATTGCTAAGCTTGAAGGCATAGGAGATGAAATATAAGTCAAGAATTTAATGGTTAAAAAGAAACATTTGTTAAGGGAACTACATATATGTACAGTAGACATAAATCTCGGGCAAAGTCAAGGAAATGAGTTGCTTTTATTATAAAAAGAAAGGGCGCATGTAAAATGATTTTCAAGTTTTAATGAATGAGTAGCATGCCAATGCCAAGCATAAGGATAATAAATATGTAGATGCTACTATAAATGTAAATTGGTTATATACATGCTTTGTTGATGTTTTTTCAATGATAACATAAGTCATTTACAATCATTAGTGGATTCCTTTTTAGCTCTTTCTTAAACTATATGTCCATGTAACGAATTATTTTACTCTTTATAAGCCCTATGCTGATATGAGAAATAAAGTCATGTACAATTGGTTTTAGCATGGTGAAGTTGAAATGCATGATGTTATTATGAAGACATTATGCAAAATCTCAAGAAGAATTTGTTATATTTGGGTTTTCTTAATTGAAAAAGATGTAAGTTCTTAGGGGATATTGAAGTCCTTAAAATTTACAAGGGTGGTCATCAAAACAAGAAAGTTGATGAATTCTATATATTGTGAAGTGTAACTTTGAGTGATTCAATTTCATCATTTTTGGTGAAACACTTCACATAGGGAAGTTGAAAAAGTTTGTATAATGGCTGTAATTCTATTTCCAATAAAAAGTAGTGCATATGATGAGGTAAGACAGTTAGAAATAATTAGGTGTGTTGATCTCTATCTCAATGTTAGTTCATACCATTGCAACATTCATAATGTAGAAATAACTATTTTGGGGTACAAAGTGTTAATGCTATTTGCAATTTCATTACAAGTAGTTCCATCTTAGTGTACAACATATGTACTTTAGAGATCTCTCATAGGTGTTAAATTCAAACATTGTATGTTTTTTATGTGTAGTTAAGTGTTACACCTTTTAGGTCTTTTGGAACTTAAAGAGCTTAGTTTGGAGAAGAGAAAATATAAAGAAGGTCCAAAATGTATAGCTATAAATTTAACTTTAGAGGGGAAATTTTAGGATTGACTACAATTTGTTTTGACGGAAGGCAAATCTAAGTACAAAATTCAAAATAGATTGTTTTGAGATAAGCAAAAATTTTTCTTAATTATCTTTTTATATGAGAAGAGATTCAATTTTTTGTTATTTTGGATTGGAATCAAACAAAATTTAAACCAAATTTAAATTTAAATTTCCACTCATGTAAACTCATATAAATCAAAGAAGAACTAAAATGAGTGGCTAGCTGTAGTTCAGGAACATTAAAAAAAAAAAGAGCAATGGAAAGAAAATATGTCATAAATGAGCATCTAAGAAGAGATTTTTGGCATAAATTAGATACCCTTCTCTTGTGTGACTCTCGTATTCTGAAAGATATGAGGAGATTTTTTCCGATTTTTTCGGCTTGAGAGAGATATACATGATTTTTCTTTGTGGTGAGGTTGGTGTACTTAGGTTTAGCTCCATAGCATTTTCTTTTGCCTTTTGCTTTTTGCTTGTACACCAATATAATTTCTTGATGGTGGATCAATTTATTTCTCCTCTCTATTGGATGTAGGTTATTGTTTTGGCCAAATTATATAAATTATGGTGTCTTCATGTAATGTTTGATCTTTTAGTTAGTGCATTCATCATATTCATTCTTGGCAGACAATTCTCCATAAGAAATAAAGTAAAGAAAAGATGTCTTGTAATGTTTGATCTTTTAACCGAAGCTACTTAATGCTGATGATATCTAAATCATTATCACATAACGTTTTAAACCACGAAACTCACCGGACTAGCTCTGATCAACTTGAACGCGGGCACAACCATCACAGTCACCGCCAAAAATGTCAGTGTATCTAACCCTAAATCATTAATCACATCAACCGCGCTTGCCACATCAATCGCCGCATGAATACGGAAACCCGTTCCAACTTCACGCCGAAAACCTCTCAAACCAAAACGCCCACAACTCGACCGCTTGAAGAGAGCTCCCGAATCATGCACCGACACCAATCTCAACCATCGTCGACACCGCAACGCGGCATAAGACGGAAGCACCTCTGCTTTCCATTTATAGAAAAAGGGGATTACGGAGAACCGGCGTCTAATTCCATAGAAAAGGCAATGATCAGTCCTTAACGAGCTTATCCGATGACGGCAGAGCTCGCCTCCCTGCACCGACAGAGCGTTCAGGTCAGTAAAGCACATCGCTTAAAGCAGTGAAAAATCGGCAATCAGTGTTGTGTGCTGACACTGAGACATCCCGAATCGCCCATTGATTTCGCGGCGAGGTCAGATTATTTCGAGATGGGGAAGAATCGACCCTTCCGATTTCTATCGTACATACTTCTTAGGTATGCGGGGAGGAGGAAGACGCGAAGGTGACGTACTGAGCTTCGCTGGTGAGAGTGGCGGCTGCTTGTCCATCGGATTAGAGATTTCGCTTTCGGGAAGGAGAGCGGGCAGAATCAGATAAGTAGATTTATAAGAACGAGAGTTTTTGTGGCGGGCGATGAGTCCGCTATAAACGTGTCGATTGAGTTTCTAGGTCTTGTAAGGATCTGTTTGCAGCCCAGGTACACAGTCCAAAAGCAACCATTAATGGGTTAGCAGTTACGCGTGTGAACTTTTTACCTGTGTAATTCAAATGTGTATCAAGTCTGATGTTGATCCTCCAGATGGGATATCAGGCTGAAATTAATAAATGTAGCTTCAAGCCTTCAACTGGGGGTTGTTGACTTGACCGTATAGCTTTGACTTTTATTTAAAGAAATTTGTTACGAGGCAATTACTTTTAATTGTATGAATTATGATTAATTTTAAATTGTTTTAATTTATATTGAAATTAATATAATTGAAGATAGGATATATATGCTTTGCTTGTGACAGCTTTCTTATTTTTTTTGTTTTTTAGATTGTAATCATGATTTTTATTTTGTTACTATTTATTTGTTGTTGTTTTTTATTTTGAATAAAGAAATTATTTTATATAACAACTTTAAAATGTTACTATTTTTATAATAGTTTTATAAATAAATAAGAAAGACGTCTCAAAAGAAGCAACCTCAACTTAAAATTAAGGATTTTAAAGTTGATTCTACGGCTACATTTGAGATAATTTTCTTACTATTTTTTAAACCATTTTTTATTATAAAAAATTTAATTCATGATATTTTTGTACCCAGAAAAAAAAAGTTTTTAAAGTATTAAAAAAGTTGTCTCAAACAAAACCTAATAGATTGTGGATCAAAATGACTACGGGCTAGAATATTTGCGATAGTAAAATATTAAATTTGATGTCTTAACATTGCATGAGTATCAAGCTCAAAAATAGTATTTATTATTTTGTGCAGAGTTTGGAGGGTGTCTGGAGACCAATAAAAATGCACCACGTCACCTCAATGCTGGGTACGTACCCAGCTCGGTACCCTTGGTACTATTGGGTACCCAACGCTTAACCGGATGGTTCTCTCGAGGTTAACTTGTGAAGAAGAGGTTGAGATAATCCATCAATGATAGTTAACATATCTGAGGTTATTTGTCAGAGCACTGCTCAATAATATTAACTATTATGAAAGAGGATGAAATAATCCACAAAAGATATTTGACATATCCAAGGTTGTTGGTCAAAGCATTATTCGATGGCATTAACCTGTATGGAAGATGCCGAAAGAATTCACTAATGATGTTTAACATATCCGAGGTTATTTATTTTAGCGTTGCTCGATGACGTTAACCTACGTGAAAACTGCTGAATTGAATCCCACTGTGATCAATTATATATTAACTGAGAGGGGGCGAATACTGCATGTATCCTAAATCAAATATGAATATTGATATATCTTTAGACAGTTATTACCTTTTTGGGGTTGAGGTTAAGACATTGCCCAATGAAACAAATATGGATTGTATAGTGCTTGAAGTTTAATTGAAGCATCATTGTATTTATTAAAAATATAGTTACTAGTGGCATTATCTTAGATATTGAAAATATTAAAGGAATTTTTCTTAGCCATAAATACATTTGAGATTTTAGGCAAGGTTAATCCGACTCCAGGCCCGCACCGTGACCCCTTTCTCGCCCTAAAATTTTGAAACATAACGTAGAATCTCATTTTAGCCCATCGGTCTTTCGTAACTTCCCCGCAGTTGTATTAGAAGTAGAAATACAGACAATTTCAAGGATAAGTAATGCCTCTTCTACTCTTCCTGTCTGATGTTTATGTTTGTCTGTTTCATGCTCAACCATAGAACTCCAAAAAAAAAAAATCTTCTAATTTGTAAGAAGAAGCATCCATCATTTGTAGAGGAGAGAACAAAAATGATGGTTTTAGTTTTATGTTGTCTTTTTCTATCTTTTGTCTTTATGTGAAATAGTAATGTGTTAAGTAGATTTTTGAGTTGAGCTAAATATGATGTGTGATAACTAATAAGGATGATTAGTTTCTTTAAGATGATTGTTATCAAATTTTAGGATATCTAAAAATATATTATATATTAGTAAGAAAATAAGATGGTGAGATGAGGAGTTATAGAGAATGTTATAAAAATATTACTATTGCAGGATAGAACATACGCATCGATAGAGTTAAAATCCTACGTCTTAGCATTTGCACGAATATCCAGCTCACACATAGATATCACAAAGATTTTTTATGTGGAAAACCCTAGAAAGAGGAAAAACCACGGGCATTGCCCAATTGAAATAATTTTACTAGTGCTTGGATAGATTATAATGTGCTGACTATTCCCTGAGGGATATCAAATTACAAATGTCAATCATATGATTGAAATCTAGTGACAAACGGGGATGAAAGTCCAACGTCACTTGGTGGATTGGTAGAAGTCCGACGTTACTTGAAAATTTAGGATCAGTTGGTAGCCTAGCTGTGGTTTGGCAGAACTCCAAGCGTCAAGTGGTGGTATGGCAGAAGTTCGGGCCTCAGGTGGTGGTATGGCAGAAGTCTGAGCCTCATGTGGTGGTCCGACAGAAGTCCAAGCCTCAGGTGGTGGTCCAGCTGAACTCCCAGGCCTCAGGTGGTGGTCCAGTAAAATTCCGAGCGTTAGGTGATTGTTTGGCAGAAGTTCGGACCTCAGGTGGTAGTCCGGTAGAAGTTCGGGCCTTAGGTGGTGGTATGGCGGAACTCCAGGCATGAGGTGGTGGTCCGACAGAAGTTCAGGCCTCAGGTGGTGGTTCGGTAGAAGTCCGGGCCTTAAGTGGTGGTTTGGCAGAACTCTAGGCCTCAGGTGGTGGTCTGACAAAACTCTGGGCGGTGGTCTAAGAGGAGCAAAGTGGCAAGAGCGATCTTCGATCTCTCTCTTATTTCCTTTGGCTTGGGGTCCCTTTTCAAAAGGAAGGAGGGGCATATTTATATATTTCCTACAGTGTCATGTCCCATAAATAGGAGGAAGATCAAGGGTAAATGGGGAGTGGTTTGGATGGACGGCTGATGTTGAATCCCTTGATCGTTTGCCATTTGTTAAACATTTGAAGGTCTTAATAATGTTAGAATTCCATGATATTGGGCTCGTTGGATTCGTCTCGTCGAGCCACTCGATTCCACCATAAGAATGTTACATTTGGAAACCGATTGGTAATCCAAATTGTGGTTCAAACACTCAAATAGTGCTTTGGGCCCTCAATTTGGATCTATTTGGGCTCGAATTTAGTCGAAATTGGTGTCATTGTGTTTCTATTTCCGAGACGTTCAGTTCGACTGTAAGTTTGATGAAATCGGAGTTCACATGGGCCCAATTTTAATTTTGGAAGTTTCTAACTTGATTTTGCCTCGAGATCCATGCCCCACCAAGATAATTTTTTGATGATGTATCAATTACAATTAAAAAAATTAGCAAAAATAAAATATTATTGAGGCTTTTATGTTTATAAGAAGGCAAAATCTATGTATTGTTAATGATTTAAAAGATTGGTTGCATATGATATAGTCTGCATTAATCAGATATCTGCATAAATGAGAAATTAGATTTCATTTGGGATGATTTTTACTGTTAAAAAGAACATGCTTTAATCAGATATCCACATATGTATAATTGCTCTCTATTCTTTTTGCCACAAAGTTGTCAATTTGAAACATTTCATTATAAATTCTATATCTTTTAGGTAATTTAATTGTGCCCCAAAATTATGGAATGATGTTTTAAAAAGAAGTCAACATCTTTCTTGCCAACACTTCTAAGATGATTCCCAAAGAAATGATGATGAAGATAATCCAAAAAGAAGTTGAACTCATATTAAATCATCAAAAAACTTGGAAACAGATATAAACAATCTTCAATCAAATCTTGAATTATGTATACCTATTTATGAATTTAGCCATAATATTTGAGATCCAGTTCGAAGGTCATATTTGCAAAAAGGGGCATGTCAACCTCACAACCATGACTTCCCTAAAAATCATTTTGGGGTCAAAGATAGACGTTTCAATTAAAATTGGTTTGATAGATACTCTGATTGGTTATAGTATACATAAAGATAAAGCTTATTGTTTGTATTGTTACCTTTTCAAAGTATAAGGAAGAGTAAAAGAAGATAATGAGGTATTTAGTAGGAATGGATTTTTAAATTGGAAAAAAATCTAATAAATTTGATCTTCATGTTGGAGGCCCTAATAATGCTCATAATAATCGAAACGTCATTTGATATTGTTGTTAGAATTTTATTATAAATTCTAAAATTAAGCATGCTCGTATAGGAGCACTCCTGAAATGGGTGATCTCCTGGGAAGTTACATCAAGGGGATAAAACCATGATGCTATTAGCCCAAAGTAGACAATATCTCAATGGTTAAAAATTTGAGCCATTACAAATGATATCAGAGCCACAGCAGTAGTAAGATATGAACTAAGTGTTTCTATCTGCCTAATGGATAATTATTGGCTAAAGAAACTAATAAGGACATTAGTATCTAAGTAGGGGAGATCGTCAAACCACTTATTAAAATAAAACTAAACTATTAAAAATCAAAGCAGCTTTTGGTGCAACAGTGATTTTTATTAAAAATTCTAAAATTAAGTGTACTCATATATGATCACTCATAAGATGGATGATCTCTTAAAAAGTTACAACAAAGAAATAAAATTGTAAAACTATGGCGCAAAGTGAACAATTGTTAAAAGTGTTTGAAAACCCTACCAAAATTTGCCCTAACATTTTGTTGCTAATTCTAAAATTTATCTTCACTTTCATAAAAAAATGGTCCTGAATAGCACCACTTTTTTTTTTATGACGAGGAACAGTCTGCTGCCACACCTGACTTCGTTGAGCGCGCTTGGCGGTACGTAAACCCCAGCCGACCTAATGGGCCACCCAGGCCATAAACCGATAGCCGGCGCTTTGGATCCCCCACTTAAGGGCCGACTGCCGCTCGGGATGGGGTTTCCAACCAAGCTAAAGCATGGGTGGGTGAATAGCACCACTCAAATCAAATGCCTGAAACTGTCAGTGTCGGCCTAATGAATTCGGTCAGCAACTTCGGTCCAGACACGACCTTATCGCATAAGTCTGCACATAATCTTTGACACGTTCCATGCGGCCGCCGGTCCAGCGCCAAGGAACAATGAAAAAATCAAACCTAATTGCTAACGTAAACGGTCATAACAGCAAACATCAATAAGAACCACGCAAGTGCGTCTTCCGCCTACCATACCGTGTATCGACGTGTGGCCTTTAACTAGCACGAATCTCCGCGTGTTTAGAACAAATCTAGCCCGCCCGTTCTTCTTAAGCGCTAGCCAAAGTTACTAGAAGCTAAGGAACCGCGTCGGCTAGTTTTTCAAACCTACTAGATTTATTTGAAAATTTGCTTGTAAAATTATTTAAATATTTATTTACATATTTACACCGAAAATACTTCTAATATTAAATTATTTTTTGAGATAATTTATTTTAAATAAATTCTCCTGATAATCTATTTTAATAATGTTAATTAATAAATTATATTACTATTCCCACATTAACTAAAATAACTATCATTTTAAATAATAATATAACTAGTAAAATTTTCTTATAAGATAACGATCAAAATAATTCCTAAATTTTTCTAAAGGATTAAATTGTCTTTAAATATTTAAAAAAATTATTTATTTTTAAATTTACATTTAAATGATCTCATAAAAAATTAATTTTCTATTTTTGTAAATTAAAAGATCAAATCAATATTTTTATATAATTAAATTTTTTTTTAGGACCAATGAGAATTATTTTATTTTATTTTATTATTGTGTACTCAAAATTTATATTTTTTATTTTTTTTATAACGTGGTATCTATCCGCTACCATTTCAAAGGGAGCACTTGGCAGCGTAACTAATCCATCGGCGGAACCTAGTGAAGCCAGCCACCAGCATCAGACCCACACTTGCTTTGCCTCACTGAAGAGGCGAGGCAGTAACAGAGGGGGTTCGAACTGTGATAGGAGGTTCCCAACCGTGCTCGCCCACTGATTATCTTAAGTCTCATGGGTTAAATCTGTACTTTTACCTATATATTTATTCCGCTCTTTTAATGTAAATTTTTAAATGCAAACAATTATTTCAGCTTAATCTAGATGTAGTAAAATCTAATACAAAAAAAATCAGGGTCCTAATAGCAAAATTCCAAATCACCAACCTCTGTTCAAATGGAGAAGACGACTCCCACGTTCATAATCTCTTTGAAGCAGAGTTCTTCTTCCTTCTACCCGCTTTCCCCTTTCCTTCCCACTTTTTTCTTATAGAAATCGCCTTCCGAAGCTTAAATCCTCTTAAAAACCGCGTCTTTCTCACAGATTCATCTCTCCGGGCTCTAAATAAGCCTTACTCCCAACCTTGGCTCCCTCTGCTCTTTCCCAATCCACTCAAAACTTTCTGTTTTTAGCTAAATTAGGGAACAGAGAGCTACAGAGATGAATAATCTGTTCTCATCATCATGGCGTAGCGATCCCGCATCCCCCAACGGAGGCATCGGCATGACGCGAACGCCAAGCTCTGGCATCACTCCGGAGGCCGCGGCCGCCGGAGGTGCGAACCTCGATAAATTCTTCCATGAAGTCGAATCAATCAAGGAAGAACTCAAGGAAATAGAACGAGTCCATCGCAGCTTGCACGAATCGAATGAATCTCTGAAAACCCTTCACTCACCGACAGCCGTTCGCGACCTCCGTGCCCGTATGGACGGGGAGGTCTCTCACGCCCTGAAGAAAGTGAAGCTCGTCAAGCTCAAGCTGGAATCCCTCGACCGTTCGAACGCATCGAGCCGGTCAGTTCCCGGCTGCGGGCCGGGGACATCGTCGGACCGGACGAGGACTTCGGTGGTCGCCGGGCTTAGGAAGAAGCTGAAAGATCAGATGGACGCGTTTGGGGATCTGCGGCGGCGCGTTGCTGCGGATCACAGGGAGGTGGTGGCGCGAAGGTATGTTAGAAAATTCTCCCTCTTTAATAATCTTAGTAATTAAAATTTTGGGCCTGAAAGTTTCTTCATTTCTCATAATTCAATTTATTTATTTATTTTTTAAATCACTGTGACTTAAAAAAAAAATCAAAAACATTCAAAATTAATTAGATAGTTATGATTTTTATTAATCCCTTTAATGATATGTGACTCCTCATCTCATATATAACTGGAAAATACAATCATTCAAAATAAAATATTATTTTATTTTTTCTAAAATCATCCAAAATAAAATATTATTCCTATTATAAATTTAACTTAGATTTAGTTTGGCAATTTTTTTTATTTTCTATAACAGCTTTTAACACAATTTCTTTAAAAGCGGTAATCTTAGGGCATCTCCAACCGAAAATCCCATTTTCCATTATAAAATGCCGTAAAATTTCAAAATGCGGTACTACATCTTCAATGGAACTCCATTTTTCTTTTTTTTGCGCCTTCTTTACGAAGGTAATCATCTCTCTTTTGTTTCACGCGCTTCCTGCGTAGCTAAGAAGAGTGTGAAAGTTATCATTTTTTTTGCGTAGGTGAACAGTCCGACGCCAATATCGCACTGTTCACCTACTGATTTGTTATGTGAGATTTGAAGTTCAAATGCGGCGATTTGCGAACAGCATACAATGATATGCAGCTCGGTTAGAGATGATCTTATTGATTTTTAAAACTGAGTTGTAGGAAAAATTTTTTAAACTAAAAATTTTTATACTAAAAAATTATTTTAGAAATCAATATGAAAATGGTCTCAAATAAAACCTTAAACTTCAATTGAGACATTTTTCTTTCTCTTTCTAAAGCATCATTTAGCTTTTTTTTTTTTTTGAATAAAATTTTTTGTGCTAAAAAAACGTTTTAAAAAGCGGAAAGAAAATTGTCCAAAAATGAAATCTTAATATTTGCGCATTAACATTATCTTACAAATTCAATACTGACATACTGAACTCAATACTCTCATATGCCTTGACAGATACTATGCAGTAACAGGCGAGACGGCCGACGAGTCAACAATCGACGCAATGGCGGCGGGGGACCGCGAAGGGGAGGGAATTTTGCGCGCGGCGGTGGAAGGGAGAGGGGCGGTGGAAGCGGCGGTGGCGGAGATGAGGGAGAGGAAAGGAGCGGTGGAAGAGATCGAGAGAAACTTGATTGAGCTTCATCAGGTGTTTCTGGACATGGCGGTGATGGTGGAGACGCAGGGGCATCAGCTTGATGACATAGAGAGTCAGGTTGGGAGAGCAAGTTCCTTTGTTGATCGTGGCGTTAAGCAGCTTCATCAGGCTCGAAGGCGTCAGAGGAATACGAGGAAATGGACTTGCATTGGCCTTCTAATTTTGATCATTATTGTGCTCATTATTGTGCTTCCAATAGTGCTCAAGAACTGAATGGAGAAGAGGAAAAATTGGTTGTTTTTTTTTTTTTTTTTTTTGTGTGGAGAGAATGTCATTGTCTTACCTTTAGTTTTGGGACGGCTTATTTTTTACTTCTTAAAACAGTTTTGTAGTACAAAATATTTTTGTACTTGAAAGCTATTTAAGAAGCATTAAAAAAGCCTTCCCAAACGAAATCTTAGGCTTCATTTTGAATATTTTTTTTACTGATTTCTAAAATAATTTTTTAGTATAAAATTTTTTTAATTAAAAATTTTTTTACTAAAAAATTATCTTAGAAAACAGTAAAAAAAATTGTCTCAAACTTAGGCTTTGTTTGGGACGATTTTCTCAATGCTTTATAAAGCTGTTTTTTAGTTAAAAATTATTTTTAATTAGAAATTTTTATATTAAAAAATTGTTTTAGAAAGTAATGAGAAAACTGTCCCAAATGAAGTCTCAAATCTTATTATGAAGTATGTGTTGATAATTTGGGTGTGGAAAGTATTGCTCTAAATATAATTAGGGCTTTATTTGTAATTTGATTTTTTCTTGTGGGGGTGGGGGGTAAATCAGTAGGGTAGGGGAATATATAGTTGTATGTATCCCCAGCTGTGTATGGTATATATAAATGTAATGATTTATTCATTTTGTTTAGCATAGTATAAGATTTATGAATATGATTTCAGCTGCATTATTTGGTTCTTTTATTTGATTTGTGAATTATTATTGAGGCATTGGTGGGTTTTGTTTTAGGAAAGAAAGATATCATAATTTAATTAGGATGAATTTTTTAAAAAAATTAATTTAATTAATTTGAAGATTATAAATATTAATTAGTTTTTTTTTTTTAATTTTGTATACTCATTTTAAAATAAATTTTAATTTTGAAAACTACTTAAAATTTATCAATGGAGAAATTTATTTTGATATTTTAAATCCTTAGATCAATAATAAAAGGAATTTAATAAAATTATTTATGCATCACATTCAGGCTTCGTTTGGAGGCTTTTTGTTGCTTTTTAAAACCGTTTTTTAGTTAATTTTTGTACTAAAAATTTGCTTTAAGAAGCGGTAAAAAAGCCGTCCCAAATGATGCCTCAATTTTAAAATAAAGATAAAACGTTTGAGGTTCATCCTAACCAAAATTTAGAGGAACATGTAAAGGATTTCTAATATGAGCATTAAAAGAAAATTGAAGCTTAATGGGCTTGTTATAACTATTGTTGTATTTATGAAGAATATATATTTTTCTTCCCTAATTTCTCTTGATTTTTTAGTTGCTTTGATAGAGGAATGGGGAGGTGGAATAATAAACACAAAACTAGTTGACTTTTGTTGTTTGTACTTTATTATGCTTAGATTTTGGATAAAATTTCTTCTAATAATTTGTGCCGTGCATTGGTCAATAAGGAGTTGGAACCGGTGGCGGCCCTTGAACAAGTGTTAAAATAAGCCATTTTGATTTGTTTGTTTATACTTCTGACGTTAGGAAAATAAAGTAAAATAGTAGTGGTTGGGTTGTAGGTTTTCTTCATAGTTAAGCCTTCGTAATATAAAGATCAAAGATGATGATGATTTATGATTTATGATCGACAATGACAGTTGTGGTTAGCAAAGACAGTCGGCAATGATGGCAGGCGGTGATGGCTATGGTCGCAGTGATTCTCAGTAGTGGTCGATAATAGAGGGTGGCAACACCGGGTCATTGGTCGTAGTGATGGCTCGGGTATATTGCATGGGGTGAAAAAGAAATTCAATCAAAATTGGTTGAGCTTATCTTTCATCTGAAATGAACTAGAATACTTTTCTCTGTCAAATGAATATTTTATACTACATTCTTTTTTCATCCAACTAAATACCAATATTTTTAAAATCATTGCAAAAATAATACTTTAATCCCACTTCACCTCAAATCAAATAGCCCCTAAATCATACCAAAATATCACTAATAATATTATTTTTTTCTAAAATAAAGTATTAAAATTTAGATGATATCATAAAAAAATTATCTTAATCGGGCACAAATCTCAAGACAATATCAAGTTGAAAACGTCTAAATTTAATCTGGAACCATCCAAATTCCAATTTCAACAAATTTATAGTCTAATTGAAGGTCTTGCAAAGTTGAACCCAACGACACCAAATTCGACTCATTCCGAGCCCAAATGGGTCCAAATCGAAGACTCAAAGCACCTTTGCAAAGTTCAAAACATAATTTGGATTACAAAACAATTTTTAAGCGTGACATGCTTATAATCAAATTGAGCAGCTCGACGAGACGAATCCAACGAACTCAAGATCACTGAATTCTAATATCATTAAGAAATTCAAATGCACAGTAAACGGTCCACGATCAAGGGGATCAATATCGAGTGTCCATTCAAACCACTCCCAACATACTCTTGATCTCCCTACTATTTATTAGTCATGTCACTCCTAAAGAACTATAAATAGAATCCTCATCCTTCATTGAAGGGGACCCCAAGCAATGAAAAATATAAAAGGAGGAGAAACCATAATTCTCTTGCCACCACACTCCTCAACCACCAGCTATCATCAAACAACCTACCGGCCGCCAACTGAGGTTGAATTTCCGTCCGGCCACCTAATGTTGCTTGATTTCTATCTAATATTCATTTGTCACTAGATTTTAACCAAACGTTTAACTGTTGTAATATGATCGTCCTCAATTTCCAGGACAAACCACTCCTTTGTAATCTATTGAGACACTAATGGAATCATTTCAATTGAGTATGACCCCGTAGTTTTTTCCTTTAGGGTTTCCACATAAAAAATTCTGATTTTTTTTTATGTTTGTGTGCTTGATACTCGTGCAATACTAAGACCTAAAAGTTTTTTGTACTTTACTGTCGTGAATACTCTAGCCCGCAACAACAATGTTACTGTTAAAATCCTAGAAAGAAGACTTGCGAGACATCAAAATAACAGTGAAAAGAATATATCGGTGGAGTCGGTGAAGCAAGAGCCAAGATAAACAATAGGCAACACTCAAAAGAACTTGCAATTTACGTATTAGCAGTGCAGATGTTGCAATATAAAAGACGAAATGCTATACGAGATTGGACATTATGATTCAAAGAAAGCAATAGTGGCAATGTCTCCACGCAGGCTACGCAGCACTATATTTTTCAAGCGTTAAACGTAGGAGTCAAAATGACGGAGAGGAAAAAAGAAGAAGAAGAATATCCTAATTCAAATAGCAAGATCACATATACACACATCTATCTGCTATACACAGGCAAACTTAGCAGAGACACAGTCAGGCAACCTTCATCTACTGAACCATCAAACAAAATTGCATTGCATTCCAATCATTCGTTCATAATTCCTGGATCAATTTCAAGTAAAATAGGCAGAAAATCTGATCCCTTACCGGATTCCATTAAGCTCTGTCGCCATCAGCTTGCGTCCCTTGGCAGGAAAATGATCCCAGCAGGCTTCCCGAAAGCCGTCGACGACGAAACCAACCAATCAGGAGTTAATTGTGTTGAAGAAATAAAATAATCATAACAAAGAGAATATGAGAGAGAGAGAGGGATCATATCCAAGCATGAGAACCCCTGTCATTTGGTACTTGTGGGCGACCCCTGGTTGGCGTCGGTGGTCTATTTGCATTAAGATCCTGAGATAACAGCAGATAATCTTAAGAGCCAGGATTTTACCAATTGCCGGTACCATTTAGGCTTCGTTTGGGACGACTTTCTTATTGCTTCTTAAAGCAGCTTTTTAGTTAAAAAAATAAAAAATGTTGTACTAGAAAGTGACTTTAAGAAATAGTAAGAAAGCCATCCCAAACGAAGCCTTAATGACGACTATCAAATACTCAATAGTGTTCCATTTAAGAATAGAATGGAACCTGCATCCACATGTCCTCGATATGATGCTCTGATGATGTTTCAGGTGAACAAATTGCAGGTGGAAGAAGTGGATGAATTAGTTTAGGAACAACCACAAGGTCTCTTCCCAAAACTAAGATGGCCCCTGCATTGTTTGCAGTACCTACACTTGCAGACATTTAAGGAGTTAGATGAGAAAGCCAACACAAACAATGTTTGATGATAACTGTGAGAAGAAAAATGGAAAATTCTGACCGCAATAGTTGGTTGCAGAGAAGAGCGTTATCAAGTGTCCTTGAGCAAAACGCTCAAAACCATCCATCACGCATTCATGTGCACGGACTATCAGTTGCAGATCATTGTTGTTGCAGAACTCCATAACACGGTCAGGCTGCAGCAAAAGAACCACCATATTTAAGGGGTGGCTTGCCAAAGGTATTTAGGCTTCGTTTGAGATGGCTTTCTTATTGCTTCTTAAAGTAATTTTTTAGTACAAAATTTTAATTTTTATACTAAAAAATTACTTTAAGAAACAATAAGAAAGCCGTCTCAAATGAAACCTTAGTGGATGAAATTGAAAAATCAAGACCAACAGATAAAAAGGCCCTACTTTCAAATAAATAAAATATGTTTTTTTTTTTTTTTACAATCACATCATACAGAAAAAATTTGGATTCACTAGACTAGAAATGATGAAACAAAGCAGCCTGAAAGAAGGCTCTCAGAGATTGATAGTAACAATGTTTGTAATCACCAAAGTGTGGATTACAAAGGGAGATTTGGAGCATGCGAATCACCATCAACATGGACCTTCTCAAATCTCTGACTTTGGACTTGATGCCACAAGAAAAATGTACTAGTTTGACACACCATTGTTTTCTTTTTTCATAGAGTAACTTTTGACACTCCTTGAAAGCCCCTTAAATACCACATGAAGACATTTTAAAGAAAGCGGGCCTGATCAATATTATTTTGGTTCCCATTCTCATTCTCTTTTTTCATAACTTTCTATAGACTTTTTTTCTCAGAAGTATTTCCGAGCTTTTGCTTGACATAATGTCATCAACTGTAACTGCTTATAGTTGTATCAAAATATATGTGAATTTAGGTTTTATTGGATGGAGTAATGGCTAAGCCGTCTCCATTATGACCTGAGGGTGACGTTTTAAATCACAAAAACAATCTCTTCCACGGGTAAGCTTTATGTACATGAAACGCCCCTACTAACAGTTAGCTTTGTCGGATTTGAGTACACCTTTGTTTTAATCAAACTTTATGTTGTGTTGAACAAAATGAAGTTGTTTTGAATCTCCGAGAGCTGAATGAACTACTTTACAAGTGTCCCCTACATATTTGTGCAGCAATGGAAATAGTGCATGCTAGTGGTAGGGATTTTACAGTGTGTTTCCCAAACAAAATTTAACTGTGATATGAAAGCATATTGAAAAAGGTTAAAAGAAACAATGCATCACCAAATCATGCCTTAATCATCTTACAAAGTGAATCGAGCGTTCGTGTTCCTCATGTCTGGGTCATTGTTCTAGGGATCTGTGCCCGCATCATGCTCCACAGATTATATAGTTTCCCACAAAAAATTTAAGCAATCATTGTTTATTTTAACTTTTACACAAATATATACACTACTATCTATAGCTTCTAGGTTTGGTGTGCTCCCGTCAAGTCATGTTATATACGATGTTTGGTGCCCATTTAGACATTCCACAGATGTTAATCAAAACATTTTATTATGCAGCTAACGGAAACGTCATAATCCTCATTATCAATGGCGGGAAGAATGGCAGACACAACTAAGCTTCCTCGCCCTAACTATTGGGTTTAGCATTCTGAATATTGTTCTTATACTAGCGTAAAATTTGTCGAATAATCATGACGTGAATTCTTTAAAAAATTGTGTTAATGCTAGGGCGTCCCCTGGAAGCGACGCATTGTATGTCCTTAATACAGTGACAAGTGTGCAAGGGCCACTGCACTGACGCCTAGGTGCAATGTTAAATAGGCAAGGATTCCCACATCAAGGACGGATGTGGGCAAAAAAGCTAATCCATAAAACTAAAATTATGATAAGAATTTGGAATATAGGTTCCCTTATAGGAAAATTAATGGAATTAATAAATATTATGATTCATAGGAAGATAAATATTCTGTGCGTTCATAAAACTAAATGGGTTGGAGAGAATGCTAAGGAGAATGATAGTTTAGGATTTAAACTATGATATTTTGGTAAGAGTCATACTAGAAATGGTGTAGATGTGATTATAGATAAGAATTTGAGGGATAATGTTATAAAAATTAATAAAATTAGATATAAAATTATAGCTTTAAAGATTGTTAATATTAGAAGTGCTAATGCTCCTCAAGTAAGTTTGAATATGTGTTCAAAATTAAAATTTTGAAAATACTTAAAAGAATTAAATATAAAAGATACCTCTTGAAGAATGAGTTTTTATTGGAGGAGATTTAAATGGATATGTTGGAGAGAGGTATATGATTTTAAAAACATTCATGGTGGTCATGAGTTTGGAACGAGAAATGAAAGTGTTAAGACCATACTAGGTTTTTCTTTAGCTTATGATTTTTTAATTGATAATATCTTATTTAAGAAAAGTGATGAGCATATCATCACTTATAAAAATAAATATAGTACAACTCAAATTGATTATTTTCTTATAAGAAAGTTAGATCATTTATATTGCAAAGATTGTAAAATTATTCCGAGAAAAAATTTATGCACCCAACATCAATTTTTAGTTTTGAACTTTAAGATAAAGAGCCAGAAAATAAAAAAATAAAGTAAAACGATATTCTAGGATTAGATGGGAGCATTTAAAGAATATTAACAAAAATATTTTGAGAGTAAGATTTTAGATTTTAAGATTTTGTCTGTGCATGAGGATGCTAAATTACTAATGTTATGTGGAAAAAAGTTGCTAGTGATATTAAGAATATTGCAAAAGATGTGCTTGGAGTATCAAAGAAAAAAACTCTTAATAGTAAAAATAGTTTGGCGATGGAATCCAAATGTGCAAGAAAATATAAGAAGATTTGTTATAAAATTGGTTTAAATGTAAACATTATGATAATTGAGAAATATATAAAGAGGCACTTAAGGAATCTAAGAAAATAATATGTGATGCAAAGATCTTAGCTTTTAATGATTTATATAAATATTATATACTAAAAAAGGAGAAAGATCTACGTATAAGTTAGCCAAACAAAGAGATAATAGTAAGGATTTAGTTTAAGTGAAGTGTATAAAGGATGAAGATTAAAAAATAATTTTCTTAGAAGATCATATTCAACAAAGGTGGATGAGATATTTTGATAAACTTTTTAATAAAGAATGTGAAAATATGATTGACTTTAGTGACCTTAACACCCTATATGAAACTAAAGATTTCTATTTTTATCGGCGTATTAGTAAAACCGAAGTTAGAAATGCTTTAAAGAAAATAAAGTGTGAAAAAATTGTTGGACCTAATGATATTCCCATAGAGGTGTGGAAATGCTTAGGAGATGAAGGAATGTCTTGGCTCACTAAACTTTTTAATACTATTTTGAAGACTAAAATGATGTATATGAGTGAAGAATGAGTGTATTCATTCATATTTTCAAGAATACAGGTGATGCACAAGATTGTGCAAATTATAGAGGAATTAAGTTAATGTGTCATACTTTAAAACTATGGGAGCGATTTATGGAGCGTAGGTTGCGGCATGATACTAATGTTTCTCAAAATCAATTTGGATTCATGCCAGGTAGGTCTACTATGGAAGCCATACATTTATTGAGAGCTTTGATGGAGAAATATAGAGAGAATAAGGAGGATCTATATATGATAGTTATTGAATTAGAGAAAGCATATGATAAAGTTCCAAGAGAAGTGCTATGGAGAGTTATTGAAAAGAAATGAGTTAATAATGCTTATATTCAAATCATTAAAGATATGTATGCAGGAGCTATTACTTGTGTTCAAACACAAGATGGTTTGACCAAGTATTTTTCTATTTTGGTTGGATTACATCAAGAATCAACCTTAAGCCTATATATTTTTGTTTTAGTTATAGATGTTCTCACAAGACATTTGCAAGAGGATGTACCTTGGTGTATGCTTTTTGTTGATGATATTCTTCTTGTTGATAAGACTAAAGAGGGTGTTGACGATAAACTTGAATTATGGAGGTCAACTTTAGAGTCTAAAGGTTTTCGCTTAAGTAGATCTAAAATTGAATATATGGAGTATAATTTTACTAGTAATAGACCTAGTGAAGGGATTGTGACTTTGGGCGATCAAGTCATTAATAAGAGCACATGTTTTAGATATCTTGGATCTATTGTTCAGTGAGATTGTGAAATAGATGAAAATATTATCAGCAGAATTAAAGTTGGATGGTTGAAGTGGAATGCATCGGGCTTGTTGTGTAATAGAAAAGTTCCCCTCAAACTTAAGGGAAAATTCTATAAGATGGTGGTGAGACCTGTAATGCTTTATGGTGCTGAATGTTGGACATTAAAAAAAAGCATAATACTAAGTTAAGTGTTGCAGAGATGAGGATGCTCACGTGGATGAGTGGCTTTACCCTTAGAGATAGGATACAAAATGAGTATATACGTGAAAAGGTTGGAGTAGCTCTAACAGAAAATAAGATTAGAGATAATCTCCTTAGATGGTTTGGTCACATAAATCGGTGTCCTTCCGGTGACCCGGTTAGGAAAATAGAGGTATTATATTTGACTTATGTTAAGAAAGATAGATGTAGACCTAAAAAGGCTTGGTAAGAAAATATTAGAAATAATATTTTTGTATCAGATTTAAATGAGAATTTGACTTTTAATAGGACACAATGGAGAAAAAGGATTCATGTAGCCGACCCCACGTAGTGGAAGTAAGGCTTGTTTTTCTTGTTGTTGTAATTGAAATTTCAATTATTTAGTCAGTTTTATTTTATTCTTTTCAAGTCCTTTGTTCAATGAAAACTTTGACAACAACCTAATGTCTTCTCCACGTAGGAGGCATCATCGGGAAGGCTAAGCTTGCCTATAATGCCAAGAAAGACGACACCGTGGCAGGTCTTTTATCCAACCACGTCTAGAAAGAAAATGTATATGGCTCTTTGTGTACTTGCATGAAGGCTCGAAATATTTCATCATCGCAACAAAAAAATAGAAAGAGGGAAACAGAGAAAGAGATAAAGAGACTATAAGATAGAGAGACTAAAGAGAAAAAAATTTAATAGAGTTAGAGAAAGAGAGTTAAATAGAGTAAGAAAGAGAGGGGAGAGTTAGAGAGCGAGAGATATAGAGAAAGGAAGAAAGAGGGTGGGATAGAAAGAGGGGATGGTTAAAGACAAATAAGAGAGAGAACAAGAAAGGAAAGAGAGGAAGGAAGATAGAGTAAATGCAAAGTTTAAGAGAAAGGGTGAGAGAGAAAGATATATAGACAGAGGGAAATAGAAAAGCAATAAAAAAAGACTAAGATAGAGGGACTGGAGAGAGATAAAAAAGAGTGTGAGAGAGAGTTAAACAAAGTAAGAGAGAGAGAGAGAGAGAGAGATAGAGAGAGAGAGAGAGAGAGAGAGAGAGAGAGAGAGGGTGGGATAGAAAGAGGGGATAATTAGATAAAGAGGGGATAGTTAAAAGAAAGAAGAGAGAAAACTAGAAAATAAAGAGAGGAAAGAAGAGAGATTAAGGGTAGAGTTTAAGAGAAAAAATAGAGAAATAGAAAGGAATGACAACAAAGAAAATAGAGAGTGGCCAGTAGGCTCAAAGGTGGTGCAACAGCAAGCTGGAGTAGAGGGTTGCAAGGGTGTAGAGGCGGCTAGGGAAGCGGTTGGGGTGTGTGACCGGTGGGATCGATAAAGGTAGCGGTACAAGGACAACAAGTCGGCTTGTGCTAAGATGGGAAGTGGTGATGGCGGGTCGAACAAGAAGTGTGAAAGAGAAAGAAGAGAGTGGAGAAGGAAGAAGAGTTTAGCAAAGTTGTGAATGATGCGAATGGAGGGTCGTATTAGGGAAAAATGGGAGAGAGTTGTGTACAGGATGGGAAGAAATGGGGGGTTTCTTGTGCTGGTACGGGTGGTATGGTAATAAAATTGGGGAAACTTGTGCAAAACAATGTTGTGTCTTCACTATGAGTGAAGAGCAAAGTTTTCTAATTTTTCCTTGTGCAGAGACACCGAGAACTATGGGCATCAATCATAGATGATGTTGTTCTCTTAAACATGCCCACAAAGTCTATTTTGCGAACATATGTTATTTGAGCGATTTTAATTTTTGATCGATCAACACATTTTGGATCGTATTCGCATAGTCACGTTTTTCGCTCTTCATTTTCATCGTGCTTAGATGGGTCAAACTCGAAGCGATAACTGAGGTCAACATAGTCCTTCATACATTAATTAAGAAAATACACAGCTCATGAAAAGTTTTATAACTATTCACTAGAAGCAAGTTTTATAACACCAAGAGATACAATCTCTATTGTCTGTCTTTCCAATGTGAGCAAAAACTAACTATTGAAATTTCTTTTTTACTAAGAACTTTTAGGTTCTTCTTCTACCTTGTTAACTTCCAAAACCAGAAAAGAAATAAAAAATTACCATAATTCTATATTTCTTTAGAAGCATATTCAATAATAAAATCACACGAAACAAGGAATGTCAAGGACAAAAAGCTGACCCCAAAAGTAACAAGACCAGGGCCTCTGGCATTTGGTCTTAAACCTTCAACACTATCATTCTCTGTTGGATCAGACCTATAAAGAAAATAAAATCAAAATCATAAAAATTGATCTCCGTACAGGGAACAAAAACTATTGCAACAAGGCCTTTACCATAAAAGATCCATGAGAACAACTGAACCTGCTTCCATTGTAATTGGGCGTTGTAGGTTTTCAATCTGTTCTATATGATTTATGGACCGGCCAATGCCACCATGCATACAGATAATTTTTTTCTCAATCAACGCAGCCAAAGGAAGCCAATTAAATAATAGATTTATACGATGCCAAGCCCAGATTCCATCACGTTCTCCCTATTTCAAAGTGCGGATGAATGAGATGGACAAAATGAAAAGACCTGCATGACCATGAAAAAATCGAGACACTGCAGTACAACACCAATAAAATTATTACCATGCGCTCAATGCATTCTATTCGAAAGCCAAACAAAGCATTAATATCTGCCGCCTCATGATTTCCACGGATAAGATGAACATTATGAGGATGCTCGACCTGCAACATAAAATTAATATATTAAAGCTCATATAAGCTAAACATGTCATTGATATTGTGAAAGTGATTCTTAACCAGCAGCATACCTTCAATGCAAGAAGAAGAGTAATAGTTTCCAAACTATGTTGACCTCGATCAACATAATCTCCTAAGAAGAGATAATCAATATAACTGAAAATTAAAAGAAAAACAGAATATAAATTGTAAAATCTTTTCCCAAAAATGGGTATTTTAAGTCGTATGAAAAAAGCCAAGACGAGGTAAGAAAATCCATCTAACATCAATTTTTTCATATAATAAGGCAGCCTGCTGAAGTAATATATTCAGCAAAAAAAGAATAGCCGTCCACAAAAATAATACAGGAAATGGCATTATAATCCAACGCAAGAATTATCTAATTGACTGTTCCAAAAAGGAAAAACACTAAGGTTACGGGTGAGGCACTTCGTGCTGATAACTTTATGGCTAATCAAAAGAATTACACGAAGCCATGAATACTCAGTACAAAATTTACATAGTTCCACCAGAACTGATAACGTTATGGCTATTAAACCATGTGACATATTACAGATCTCATTTATCAAATAAAAAGAATTAAACAAAGCCTTAGATGGCAAGTCCGACAAATGTTGAGCCCACATTGAGTAAGCGCATGTGCTTTCTCTCTCTAAAACAACAGATTTCATTATTATAGTAACACAATAACTGATAAAAAATGCACAGCATCATCTATGACTAAAATATAGTTCCTAGAAAAGAAAGAAAACGCAGGAGGAACATTGAATGCCAAGAATTTCACAATAGAATAGTAGCCAGAAAAATAACACTAATATTGACGAAGACTAACACACAAACTTATCATTAAGAAAAAATAATATGAATTATTATTGTCAAGGTTGTAGCAGGAAAATGCCATTTGATAGATCATAATCTAAAAATCAACTGAAAAACCGTTCTAAACTATATAGTTTAAAAGGCTTACGCTATATCTCCAGCTGTTGAAGGGGCGCCGTACTCATCAAACAAGCGCATGAGATCCCCAAACTGGCCATGTAAATCACCAAAAATCTTAACAGGAGCTTTAATTTGCAAGACACTTGGCTCACTGGAAAATATTCGCTCAGCGCTCTCACACAAATCTGCAAGTTCATTGCAGTCTAAGAAAAATTGCCTTCGTACAGGAGGCTTCCAACCACGAGGCCTCAGAAGATTTGCAATGACCTGCATTAAGTTCAAGAAGGATGAAGTTACAGCATATGAAAAAAAGGAGGTTTAATTGCAAGGTTGCAATACAAGAGCTATTGGTTCTCTCCAAAAAAACACGACAACTCCACATCCGTTAAGCTCTGTTGCTGTGCTGTGTTGCTTTTATGTTGACCACCGTCAGAGTAAAGTGATGACTATTTAGTAATATCATGTCAATATTGTCTTCTAAAGTGTTACAAGAGTTCGTTTTGTTTGACTAAAAATTTTCCGTGACCTCAAAATCTTGTTAAATATCATTAAGAATTTTGCCAGAGTATGATATAAAATACTAATCTTAATTAATGTATCCAACAACAACAACAACATCAAGCCTTTATCTCAATACATGGGGTAGCTACATGAATTTTTTTCTCCATTGTGTCCTATTAAGAGTCAAATTCTCATTTAAATCTTATAAAAAAGACTATTTCTAATACTTTCCAAGAAAGTTTCTATCTTTACCTTTCTTAACAAAGGTTGGATCTAATACATCTACTCTCTTAACTACATCATCAATGGCTAACACGTCATTTTAGGCGACTCTCTCTAATATTATCCGCCACTGAAGCTATTCAAATTTTTTCACGTATATTATCGTTTCACATTATGTCTCTAAGTGCAAAGCCACTCATCCACCAGAGCATCCTCATCTTTGCGACACTTAAACTTAATTTGATTCTTCTCTTTTAATAGCTAACATTTTGCGCCATAAAGCATTGCAGGTCTCACCATCATCTTATTTGAGGAGTACTTTTCTAGCAAACAACAGTCTGATGCATTCCTTCACTTCAACCATCTAACCTAAATTTTACTAATAATATCCCATCGTCACTTTGAACAAAAGACACATGATATCTAAAACTTCCACTCTTTTTAATGACTTGATCACCCAATGCACAATCCCACAACTAGATCTGTTACAATTAAATTTACACTTCATGTATTCAATGTTAGATCTACTAAAATAAAAACCTTCAGACCTTAAGGTTGACCTCCATAATTCAAGTTTTATTTCAACTTCCTCTCTAGTCTTATCGACAAGAAGAATATCTTCTGCAAAAAAATATAGATCACGGTACATCTTGCAAATGTCTAGTAAGAACATCCATGACTAAAGTAGAAAGATATGAGCTTAAAACTAAACTTTGATGTAATCCAATTGAAATAGGAAAATACTTGGTCAAACCACTTAGTGTTTGAACACAAGTAACAACTCTTGGATACATATTTTAATGACTTGAATATAAGCATTATTAGCTCATTTCTTTCCTAGAACTCTCCAAGGCACTTCTCTTGAAACTTTATCATATGCTTTCTCTAAATTAATAAATATGTAGATCCTCCTTACTCTCTTTATACTTCTCCATCAAGCCTCTTAACAAATGTATAGCTTCCATAGTAGATCTACCCGACATGAATTCAAACTGATTTTAAAAAACATTAGTATTACGTCATAACCTATGCACAATTACTCTCTCATAATTTTAATGTATGACACATTAACTTATTTCCTATATAATTTGCACATTCTTATGCATAACCTTCATTCTTAAAAATAAGAACCTACACACTCTTTCTTCACTCATCTGACATCTTTTTAATTTTTAAAATATATTAAAAAGTCTAGTAAGTCAAGAAATTCCTTGATCTCCTGAGCATTTCCGCACATCTATTTGAACATCATCAGGTCCCACTATTTTTTCACACTTCAAAATTTTAAAAGTCTCTTCAACTTCGATTTTATTAATATTACGATAAAAATAAAACTCTATTTTCATTTAGAATGCTAAGGTCACTAAAGTCAATCGTATTTTCATAATCATTATTGAAAATTTCAATAGTATTATCATAATCATTATTAAAAAATTTATCAAAATATCTCATCCACCTATATTAAATTTCTAAGAAAAAATACTTTTTATCTTCATCCTTAAATGCACTTCACTTAACTAGATCCTTACTTCGCCTATCTCTTTGTTTGGCTAACTTAGACATACATCTTTCGCACTCCTTAGTATCTAATGTATTATATAAATTATTAAAAGCTAAATTTTTTGCATGACATTTTTGTTTTTTTAAAGTCTCAACGAGCCTATCCATATCTTTTTAAATTTTCTAGGTTTTTTCATATAAACTAATTTTTAACATCAGAAATGCAGGTAAAGAAAATATTTTTTTCTAAGTGAATTATATTTAATATTAACAGTTACTTTATGTAAATATTAGAAGTAATATTACTGAATATCAAAATTAAATTAAATAACTTTAATTTGACCGGATTGGTGCTTGCAATAGATGTGATTATTGGAAATTCAATTATAGGTGTGGGCCCTCTCCCTTTTTTTCCACTAGGTTTCACGCATGCTAGAGATAAGAAGTGGTGGGTTTGGCTGTGTGAAGAAAATAACAGCTGTAGGAGAGGGGAATTAGAGTCGGGTGAGAGCAGATGTTTTAGATCGGCATGGTGCAGGGAGGAGATTGGCATAGTGCAGGGAGTAGATCAGCATAGTGAAGTAGAGGCTTTGATGTGGAATTAGGTGATAGCAGCTATATTAGGGAAAGAGAAAATCTACAAGCGACTAAGCATTGTAATTCGGCAATTTCTTATCTGTAGTGGAAATAAGGGCTGCTGTGAGCGAAGAGAGAATTTTCAGTGAAGTAAAAAGAAGAAGAAGGAATTGAGGTAAGCAATTTGTTTTCTCTATTTGTTTTATAGAATTCTAAATAGTAGTAAAAAGTTCTTAAGGAAGATTTTGCTCAAATGTAGGAATTATTTGGTATATGAGGAGGAGAGAAATTGGTTTCGAGGTAAATTGATATGTTAGTATAAGTTGATTTTATGCAATTTAATTGAATAATAAATTGTGAAAATTATAGAATTAAAGAGGTGAACTTTAGGTAATTTACAAACGAAGAAGGGCTCGAGGTGCCAGATTTGAAGAGACAACTCATCAAGGAGGTAAGTAATGCAATTTTAATTTAAAAAGCAAATATTGTTATTTTATACATGTACACTTGTAATTGATTGAATTAAAGAGAAACATGTGTTAACGTTAATGATTTCGTTAGGATATGTTCATAGCCAAGTAGTTAAGTATAAATAATCATATTTGAATTTGAATGGTTTACACTTAAAAAATTAGATATAAAATGAGTAAATAAATGTTTTCCTAATTAATCATATGTTTGAAAGAAAGCACTAAATTATGCAATGTTTATTTATTCTTTTATTGAAAGCAATATGGTAGATAGAATTCTTATATGAAAGCATGAAGCATGACAAAACAAATATAAGTTCTAAATTTTGAAGTCAAATGAATATCAAATTAGAAAAGGTTGTCTGTGAAAGGATATGATACATGCATAGCATGTGTGACAAAAGGGACTCTATGTAGTTCAATGGCGATAATATCGGGTTTATTTGGACTCAATTGAACATTCTTATGAAAGCTAACCATATGAAAAATGATAACCAGAACTTTAGAAAACTAATAATGATATTATGTACATGCTTCAAATAAAATAAAAGATAATCCTAAATATGATTTTTATGTTATTTTGCAAATATTTGTGAGTTGCTTCAGTTATGATTTCAATTATGTTATTCCACATAATCTTGCATTTAATTTCTTATTTAAATTGCAGAACTTTATGAGCTTCATAGCTCACCAGTTTTTATACTACTTGTTATTATAGGGAAATGCAAGGAAAAAGTTAAAGCAGATTAAACTCAAGTTAATGAATATTTAGGTTTTACTGTTTAGAGGTGTTTATGAGTCTTCATGTGAGGTATGTAACCTGTCAAAGTGTGGTGATGTATTTTGATTTTTTTAGTGGCTCTGTAATTATTTGTGTGATGCAATTGGGACTATTTAAATACTTTCGTTTATTCAGAAAATATATTATTCAATAGATGGATTTTCCATAAGTATTCAAAAGATTAAAAGTATTAGATATTGAAAATATTGACACTCTATTTTACTGATAGGTGTATAATGGGGTGAAAAATAAAACTTCTTATTTTTTATCTTTTCTTGCATATTTTGATTCCGCCACTAACTATTTATACTAATAGGAGTAAAAGTATTAGATGTTGAAAATATTGAATGTTATATTTTTTTGTGACACTCTATGTTACTGATAGGGTTATAATGGGGTGTTATACAATTTTTTAAATAAAACTTCTTATTTTTTATCTTTTCTTACATATTTTGATTCCACCACTAACTATTTATACTAATAGGAGCTTTTCCTTTTGATTATCTAAGCACATACTTTATTGCATTCTTCATATTACTGACTATTTTTTCACACAAAAATACAAAATATTAACATTTTTCATGAACTGAAATCTTTAGATCTTGAATTTACTCTCAAAAAAATTTTTATTAACATTTTTAAATGCCAACATCTAATTCTAGGACAACTTTTACTTTATTTTTTATATTTTACCCATTCATCATAAAGTTCAAAATTAATAAGTGATGTTTGGTGCATAAAATTTCACTTAGAATGATTTTACAGTCTTTGCAATCTAAACGATCTATTTTTCTTATAAGAAAATAATTAATCTGAGTTTTATTATGTCCGTTCTTATAAGTGATGAGATGTCCCTTTCTTTTCTTAAATTAAATATTAACAATTATAAAATCATGAATTAGAGCAAAATCTAATATAATTATATCACCTTCATTAGTCATTCCAAACCTATAACCACTATGAATGCTTTTAAAATCTTCTGACTCTCTCCAACATGTCCATTTAAATTTTCTCCTAAAAATAATTTCTTCAAGTGGTATCTTTGTATTAATTCTTTTAAATCATTCCAAAATTTTAAGCACTTATAATATTAATAATCTTGCATCCAAAATAAATTTTAAAACTATAATGCTATCTCCAATTCTATTAATTTCTACAATATTATCCTTCAAATTCTTAACTATAATCATGCATATACCATTTCTAATACAACTCCCATATGATTACCATAGTTAAATGCTAAGCTATCAATCTACTTAGACTTTTCTCCCACACATTTAGTTTACACATGTCCTTTTTAATTAATATATAATTAATTAAAATATTTTTTTGGGCCTGTTCGACTTGGAGGTCTTTTATTATATTATGATGTATGTTGTTGTTCTATTCTATGTTTTCAAGTAAATCAGATGACTATTTGGTAAAATTGTTAAGGTGGTTGTCTTGCATGCTGAAGGAGTTGCGGTTATTTGGCAGAAAATTTTTGTGGCACTGATATGAGTTATTTGGTTGATCAGAATAGATATTATTATTAATTCATACAATTAAAACAAAATATCCTACTCTTATAAATAGTTAAAACAATTAGTTGAACAAGTAAATATATAAGAAAATTAAAATAAATAAAGCACTTCTCTGGCAAAAACCTAAGCATCATTCTAAGGAAGCTGTTTTTCAGATTTACTATAACTGAATTTTTCCTCAAAGTTGCTTTCTAAACACCCGGAAACTACTTTCGTTCAACGAAGCAAAAACAAGCAATCTAAACTCCACCAAACGAAGCCCTATGTATGAAATAAAAAAGGTAAAATTCAAAAATGGACTTTTCTGGAAAACCGCCTAAATCACTGTTTTCACAAAAAAAAATGTTTTTTTATCTTACATGCCATTGTATTTTTGAATTTTTTTTCTCACAATATTAAGGCCCTTTTTTTGCTATTCAAGAGAGAGCAGAGATAAACAGTATAAAGATATGCCAAAAAGAGCCTTCATATTTTGTAACACGCCAAATTTTAGTCTTTCTATAAAAGTAACCGTGCATGATATTTAAACTAGAATCTCATCATCCGAACATCAAGATACCTGGTTCCGCGCAATTTCAAAATATTAATTTGTCAAGTGGAAATGTATTGACCTTTTTGGGTATAGTGTTAATTGACATTTGACGATCTAGTAACTTTCTAGCAGCAGTTGCATTCTCAGGAGTCCCATAGCTCACTCTCCTGCCTTCATTCTCAAATTGATCAATTGATAGTTGTCTGACCATACCGCCTAAAGCACCACCAGTTTCTGCAGCTATGACAACCTGTACAAGTTCACAAAACAAATTCCAACTTTATATTACCATAAGATAGAAGCAGTTAGTCAACATTCAACAAAAGAAATAACCTAAATTAGCATATTTGACCATTCTTAATAATAATAATACTGACAGCTCGGTGATGTAGCCGAATCCCAGGTAATGGGGTGTTGTTAGACAAAGCAGAATCTGATACTTTCATCAAGCTAGGAATTTGTTTCCCACTAGAAGTAGCCTCTGGACCACCATCACGGTCAGAAAACTGCTCAGCTTCACCATTCATTTGACGAGCCTTGGCAGCAGCCAAAGCAGCACTTATTGCCTCAGCCTCTGCTGCCGAGTTTTCAACCAAAGACTCTACACCTCTGCTCAATCTTCAGCAACAAAACCAATCCTTTGTCACATTTAACAATACCAAATATAGTTTGTATCAGGTATTGCACAGAAGGATCAACTAGCGTCAAAGGTGATAAGAGATCCAATGTTTATAGATGCAATTTAGAAAGAGGAAAACAATCAAGCTTCCAATTTCACCTTTGTTTGTCATCAAGAAAGGTCTTGATGGGCAATGTCAAGCATTTCGAATCAAGTTTTTGAAGAAATATAAAGTTGGTACGGGTTAGGTAATATAATCTAAGTTTATGCGCAAATTAGATCAAGGCAGTAAGCATGAGTTATGCATCAAAGTCCTAATTCAAGTACATCCTCGCTAGTATACCTTGGACCTTGAAGAATGGTAGTTTGAGCACTTGTATCAGTATACATGCCACCATTGACAACAGGATCAACTGGAGTACCAAGAACGACTCCACCATCAGGAGTTGCCTTAGGTACAGCCTGCCCTTCCTCTAGTCGTCCGTTTGCAGGTGCAGCAATTGCAGCAGCATGAGAAGCTGCAGTTGTTGTCTCAGCAGCAGCTCTATCTTCAGCAACCAGTAGATCATCAAGCAGCACACCTGAAGCACAAATATCAAAATGTAGACAAATTAATATAGTCAGAATTAGAATGATATCTTAAAATACTACAAATCATTATGGACCAATGCTCATTTTCAATATCTATAAAAATGATTGTAACAGAGGAAAAAAAAAAAAAAAAAAAAAACTTACATACAGCAAATTCCTTAACTAACAAACTTCTCAAGCTTCCACTACAGTCAGCTCCCATGACAATATGATATCAAGAGAATCCTTCTAAGATATTTCAGCAAGCCAAGACGCTCAAAAACAACCACAAATTGAAACAAATGAACAATTCATTATATACAGCATAGTTGTGCATTTGTTTTGCTGATAATGAGATGGATTTAAAAGCTATCTATGTTTAAGATAGACTGTCAAAGTCCATATCAATTAGTAAAAACCAGTCACTACATCAATGAGGTGCAGTGCAAAATAACTAAAAAATGGAAAAAACTATTTGATGGAGGACTATATGGTACTAATAACAAATGTCGTGAGGACCAGACAAGTAGGTAAATTATAGATGTTACAAATGATTATCATGCTTATGGTAGAGGAAAAAAATAGTATTGCTCTATCTCAATTAGGCTTGGCAGGGAGTTTAGGCCAGTAATAAATGGTGTAAAGATATACATTGGTCTTCTAGAAGATGCGTAAGTTCCCACCAAAGAGGTCAACGAAACATCATATTGTGACAGGTCATTTGTCCAACAAGCTACATCTATTAAAGTCCTTTATGACTATGGCAAGCTATATATGTGTGTGTGTCTATATATATATATATATAACAATTACTTTTTTATACAAGTAGCTTCAAGCTTCAAGAAACAATAAAATACGAGAACAGATAGTTATTCAGTTCAAGTTCAAAGCATTGTTTAATATTCATAGGAATAAAATGATGTGCCGGTTCAGGCCGGCCCAAGGGTCGGTTCAGCAATATTACAGGAGGCGGAATCCATCCGCCTCCCTTGGCTTGGCCAGCCCATAGGGTGGGCCCCACTCCTTGAGATTTGAAAATCAAACAAAGGGGGTGGTTTAGGCTTGGGAGGGAAAATTGATAGGAAATATTTTCTATTCAAAAGGATGAGGGGAATTAGAGAGTTTTTCATGTTTTGATTGATTGGAATTAGGGTTTCTTGGCGTTTGGGCTCTAGACTCTCTTGTCTAGAGATTTGGGAGAGAATATCCTCCTCTCGAATTGAGGATCATTTGTATCTTGTGCTTGTGTTTGTTTGGCTTTGTTTATCTTATTGTAATCATCGTTTTGGGGTTGATTTCGTCCAGATTTTGCATTATTCTCGACTCAATTTGGCCTTTGTTTATGCGACTCAAGCAGAATGAGGCGCAAGGGGAGGCGAATAGTTCGCATGGCTAAGTTTCCTTATGTCTGATTGTGTGAGGGTGGAAGCCAACATGAGTAAACCACTGATAGGCGAATGAAAGACACGGCGGCTGGGGCCTCACGAGGAAGAGCGGAGGCGAAAGGACAAAGATTCAGGAGGCACGGATTGAAAGCTCCATCCAAGTGTGACTTCAGAAATTGCAAGCAAGGTGGAAGACGCGGTTGACGACCTTGGCTCGGTGCTGACTATTCGAGGTTGTGTGTGAAGAAGCCAAAGGCAACGGGAGACTTGGCTTCGCTTGCTGGGGAAGACCTGGTCTGGCGTGCGATTTGCAAATGTGAGATCGAAGGAAGCCACGCCCACGTGAGATTGAAGGAGGTCGAAGTTAGCTCTGGCAGTGGGGTTAAGATTTCAAAGAGGAGGCTGACTTAGGGTAGATAATTCATCGAGAGATGAGTTCTCAAGAAGGGGAGTCTGATGTAGACAAAGGGGAGGGTCAACTCATGTCCAAAATAAATCAATTTTGGCCTCCCTCGAGTTTACAAGCTCAATCAAAATTGAGCTGAAATTTTAGCTCATTTATGAGCTGGTCTTCAGAGAACTAAAGGGAAGATTTAATTCCCAAAGTAAAAGAGTGAGTTTTGGAAATATCTGAGAGGTGAATACAGTAAGGGGAATTTCGGCCAAGTTCAGGTGAGGGGTCTTGAGTGCTTTCCAAGTTTGGGTAGGGAATAGGAAATAAATCTCTAGAATTTATTATATGGTGGGGCCGGCAGCTTGATGATGAGGGAGGAAATTGAGGAGACATTCAATGTTTACTTAAATTAAGGAATTAAATTTGGAATGAAAGATTTCATCCAATTTAATTTGAAATTTAAATAGGCTATGAATTAGGAAGTTGTCAAAAATAGGATTATAATTTAGGTAACTATTTTAAATTCAAATAGATTTGAATTTACTCATGAAAAGAGTTACCTAAAATATAAAAGACTATTCTAGGAAAGGTTTCAATTAATTCCTCATGAATTTGAAATTCAAAGGGGTCTATATTTAGAAACTTTCCTAAAATAGTTTCCTTCAATAAGGAAAGAAACTCTCAAATTTAAATTATTTGAAATTTGAAATTGGATCTCTCCAAATCAAGTGCATTTATTTATGGAAATTATTCAAACAAAGATTTGAATTTGGAGGGAGTTATGAAAGGGAGCCAATAAATCGGATTTTGAATTTAAATTTCAATTGAATGGAATTAAGCACTTTCCAAAAATGGTGGACTAAATTAGGAAAGAAATTTGAATTTCAAATTTTAAACAATTTGAATTTCAAATTAAGCCCTAATGTCATGCACCCCAAATTAGGAAATCCAAGGAGAGAGGGGAAAGGATGAGGCCGGTGGCTAGAGAGCCATGGCCGGCGGTTTGGAGGAATTTTTGGATGGGTGGCCGGTGGCTTTTGGTGAGCTCGGTATGGAGCTTGGACCGTGAAGTTGAGGGACGAAGAAAAGATGACAAAACAAATGATAGAAGATAAAACGAAAGATGCAAAGAGAAAACCACGAACCCGGCCGTCTCCAAGGTTGGTGGGTGATACGATTGCCCTTCTCCAAGGGACTTCACATCACGAGCCCGGACCCATCCTGCGGCTGGTGACAACTTCGATTCCTTCCCATAGGAATCTCACTCTCGTCCTCTCTCAAGAACACAAGTGTGGAACACAAAATTTTCATATCCAATTAACCATCCTATTAAAATAGCTAGAGGCCCTATATATAGGCCACAACATGAGAAAATAAAAAATTACAAAATTGCCCCTTAGGCCACAACACTCAAATAAATTAACCTAGGGGTAAAATAGGAAATAATATAAAATAGAAACTAAAATGCAGAAAATAATTCATAAATGACAACTTAAATCAGAGCCGTCGATTTACGACGCCTCCTGTGATAGATGCGCCAGATTTTCGTGCCGATGTCTGCATCAGGATCATTTGTATCTTGTGCTTGTGTTTGTTTGGCTTTGTTTATCTTATTGTAATCAATCATTTTGGGGTTGATTTCGTCCAGATTTTGCATTATTATCGACTCAATTTGGCCTTTGTTTATGCGACTCAAGCATAATCAGGCGCAGGGGGAGGCGAATAGTTCGCCTGGCTAAGTTTCCTTACGTCTGATTGCGTGAGGGTGAAAGCCAACATGAGTAAACCACTGATAGGCGAATGAAAGATACGGCGGCTGGGGCCTCATGAGGAAGAGCGGAGGCGAAAGGACAAAGGTTCAGGAGGTGAGGATTGGAAGTTCCGTCCAAGTTTGACTTCAGATATTGCAAGCAAGGTGGAAGACGCGGTTGACGGCGTTGGCTCGGTGCTGACTATTCGAGGTTGTGTGTGAAGAAGCCAAAGGCAATGGGAAACTTGGCTTCGCTTGCTGGGGAAGACCTGGTCTGGCGTGCGGTTTGCAAATGTGAGATCGAAGGAAGCCACGCCCACGTGAGATTGAAGGAGGCTGAAGTTAGCTCTGGCATTGGGGTCAAGATTTCAAAGAGGAGGCCGACTTAGGGTAGCGAATTGAAGGCTATTCCATGTCGGGCTTGCAAACATGAGCCAAAAAACGAACAAGAATTCTCTTTGCCGATAACTGATTGTAAGTGAGCGTGAACCTTTCTTTCATTTGTTTCTTCCCTTTTCTACACGTATGAGGCAGCAGTTGTCTGTAGAATGTGTGAGGCGTGGGCCCGATGCATATTTTAGCCCTTGCCAATTTTAATATTAATTGTTGTTAGGTACAGAATTGTTAATAGAAGTTTTATTCCAAAGAATATTAAACAGTGCTTTGAACCTTAATTAAAACTTGAACTAAACAACTGTTTGTCATCATATTTTATTGTTTCTTGAAGCTTGAAGCTACTTCCATAAACAAATATATATATTATATATAGCTTATCGTAGTCATAAAAGACCTTAATAGTTGTAGCTTGTTGGTCACAATATGATGCTTTGTTGACCTCTTTGGTGGGAACTCACACATCTTCTAGAAGAGCAATGTATATATTTACACCATTCATTGCATGCGTAAATTCCTTGCCAAGCCTAATTGAGATAGAACAATATTATTTTCTTCCTCTACTATAAGCATGATAATCATTTGTAACATCTATAATTTACCTACTTGTCTAGTCCTCACGACATTTGTTTTTAGTACCATATAGTCCTTCAGCAAATAGTTCTTTCCATTTTTTAGTCCTTTTGCACTTCACCAACATGAAACCTTCTTCTCCATTAGATCCTGTTAAAGATCAACTTCTAATCTAAATCTAATAAAGAAAGATCATTTATCATATTTTCTAACCAAATCTTTTTAGGTCTACCTCTACTTTTCTTAATATAAGTCAAATCTAATACATTTACTTTTCTAACCGGGTCATCAGAATGCCGCCATTTTATGTGACCAAACCATCTAAGGCGACTCTCTCTAATCTTATCTTCCACTGGAGCTACTCCAACCTTTTCACGTATATGCTCCTTTCATATATTGTCTTTAAAAGTAAAACCATAGATCCACCTAAGCATCCTCATCTCTGCAACACTTAACTTAATATTATGCATTCCTCCACTTCAACCATCCAACTTGAATTATACTAATAATTTCCTCATATATTTCACCATCACTCTGAACAATAAACCTAAGATATCTAAAATGTGTGCTATTATTAATGACTTGATCACTCAAAATCATAATCCCCCCAATAGATCTATTATTACTAAAATTACATTTCATGTATTATGTTTTAGATCTACTCAAATAAAAGCCATTAGACTCTAAGGTGGACCTCCATAATTCAAGTTTACCTTTAACTCCCTCTCTACTCATATCAACAAGAAGAATATAATCAGCAAAAAGCATACACTAGGGTACAACCTCTTGCAAATTTCTATAGAGAACATCCATGACTAAAGCAAAAAGATATGGGCTTAAGGCTGATCCTTGATGTAATCCAACTGAAATAGGAAAATACTTAGTCAAACCACCTTATATTTGAACACAAGTAACAGCTCATGCATATATATCCTTAATGACTTGAATATAAGCACAATTAACCTATTTCTTATGTAGAACTCTCCATAGCACTTATATTAGAACTTTATCAAATGCTTTCTTTAAATCAATAAAAGTCATATGTAGATCCTCCTTATTCTCTCTATACTTTCATCAAACCTCTGAATAAATGTATAGCTTCCATAGTAGACCTACCTGGCATGAATTCAATTTGATTTTGAGAAACATTAGTGTCATGCTGCAACCTATGCTCCATAACTTTCTCCCACAGTTTTAAATTATGACACATTAACTTAGTTCTTCTATAATTCGCATATCTTGTGCATCACCTTTATTCTTAAAAATAAGAATCAACACACTCATTCTCTACTCATCTAACATCTTTTTAGTCTTCAAAATAATATTAAAAAGTTTAGTGAGCTAAAAATTCCTTCATCTCCTAAGCATTTCCACACTATTGGAATATCATCATGTCCAACAGCTTTTTCATACTTCATTTTCTTTAAAGCCTCTTTAACTTCAGTTTTACTAATATACCGATAAAAACAAAAATCTTTATTTTCATTTAGAGTGCTAAGGTCACTAAAGTCAATTGCATTATCATAATCTTCAATAAAAGTTTAGCAAAATATTTCATCCACCTTTGTTGAATATCCTTTTTTAATAAATGCATTTTTTTATATTCATCCTAAATACACTTCACTTGAACGAAATCCTTACTACTCATATCTATTTGTTTGGCTTACTTATACATATATCTTTGATGTAGACAAAGGGGGGGTCAACTCATGTCCAAAATAAATCAATTTTGGCCTCCCTCGAGTTTACAAGCTCAATCAAAATTGAGCTGAAATTTTAGCTCATTTATGAGCTGGTCTTTAGTTCACTTATTGAACTAAGGGTTAGCTCATTATTAGCTAACATTTTAGTTCATATTTATCTTTTATTAAAAATTATTTCTATAGTTTTTTATTATTTTTATTTATGATGTCTCTTGGGTTCCAAAAAGGGCTTTTGGAATCCCAACAAAAAGTTGTTTCGTTTTCCCATGCCGTGGCTCCTTGGCTTCCACCATGGGCTGCTGTTTTCCGTGCCTTTGCCCCCTTGGATTTCCAGCCGGCTGCTGGTTTTCCGAGCCTGGGAGTTTTCCCATGGCTTTGGCGCCTTGGTTCCGTGCGGCCTCCTTGGCTCCCGTAGTTGCTCCTTCGGTTCCTGGGCTTGGGCTATTTTTTCGTGAAAAGCAATAGGGTTTTATGGTTTGTGATGTTTGGAATTCCAATGAGAATTCAATGTTTGTGTCTTTTGGTATTCCCCTTTCATACCTATAAATATGAGGGGCTTGTAAAGTTTTAAGATGATATATGAAATGTTATTTTTGGAAAAGCTATAACCTACGGGTTTGCTTGGAAAAGCTTGCGAGTTTTGTCCGTCTTCTTTCTCATCCCCTCCGGAAATCTTGCGAGCTCTTTCCAACCTTTCTTCTCGTCTTCTAATCTCTTTCGTCTCTCCGCAAGTGCCACTCCACATGTATCCTTCTTCTAATTGTGAAGCAATTTTAGGGTATCATTTTGTTTGCTAGTTGTTTAAATTTTAAAGAGTTGTAAGTTTTTTATTTCTAAGTTTATTTTAGGTTTGAAATGTAAGAGTTTGTTCTAATATCTCTAAGTGATTCCCTTCTATCTTGGTGCTTCGCAACCTCTTCTTTTGTGGGTTCAAGAGATATAGGCTCCCCTATATTTTTTGCCCGCATCAATCTTTCAACATCCTTAGTATCTAATCTATTATATAAATCATTAAAAGCTAAAATCTTTACATTACAAATTGCTTTCTTAGGCTCCTTACGGGCCTCTTTATATATTTCCTAATTATCAGAGTTTTTATAGCTAAATCAATTTTTATAACAAATCTTCTTATTTTTTATCTTTTCTTGCACATTTTAATTCCACCACCAACTATTTTTAGTATTACTAGCTTTTCCCTTTGATACTTCAAGCACATCTTTTGCAACATTCTTAATATCACTAATTACTTTTTCTCATATAACATTAGTTTCTTCATGCAAAAAAGAACTTCATTCCTAGGTTAAACCAAATCAAGTCAAATTTAAGGAATCGAGAGGTTAAGTAGACAACGAAAAGATTAATCACTCAACCATTTGAATAAGAAACAGTTTAGATGCTGATAAATTTAAAAAAAAACACAAGTAAACAATAAATCTGCAACTTAAAACATGTGTGATGAACTTTGAATACCTAGCATCGTAAAAGAAAAAGAAATAGCAAGCTGAAATAAAAATGTAGAGTAGCCACTTGCTTAAGGATAAAAATCAGAATGAGGAAGATGATGGGCAGTTCAAAAAACAGAGCCAAAAAAACTGCAATATGAAACAAATAATTTTCCATGCTACAAATCTGGAGCCAAATTTAAGCTACTCTAAGAATGTTTTGCTCGTACCGCCGCGCAATCCTCCATAAATAAAAATCATATCACCAACTGCAGCAGCTGCATGCCTGCATCTTCGCGTAAGCTCAACTAAAGCATCTCCACCAGCTGTATCAGCACTATATTTTCCTGTTCTAGGACTAGTTACAACTGATTTTGTATCACACCAAACTCCAGCAGCAGTGTCCAGCACTGTAGCAAGGAAGAATATAAAGAATTTATAAAATTCCATCTAGAATCTCCATGATGACTAGCATTATTACAAGAAAATAGATAATGAAAAATAATGAGGAAAGGTCCTTTGATTAAAAAAGTTCCACGAAAACAGAAAGGTAACTAGGGAAAGTCATCCATCTATAAAACACTACATGGAGATGACATAATCAAGTTTTGTGAATACAAAAATTCATACCAAGAAGGGTTGTAATAAATAAAACTTTCAAAATATAAGATGGTTATTCCAAGCCCAGCAAGACTACCAACCAACTTACCATAAAGCAAAAGTTACACCATATATTAAGCATAGAAATACGTAGGGAGAATGAAATTCAAATAGCTCTCTCCTACAGAAGAAGATTGAAAATGTTGTATATGAAGATGCCTACTGTTTCTGGTCAACTAGGAATTTGAAGTTAAATGAGAAGCAAGAAAGAAATCAAATGGAACAGCTTCTAGCACTTATAGTGTTTCTACACTTCTCGCTATAGCTCAAGAAAACTTTGCATAACTTAAATTTAATGCTTTAAACCATACACATCTGCTTTTTTTTAGAAGAGGATATTCTACAAATGTGGATGAGATATTTTGCTAAGCTTTTCAATGAAGATTGTGAGAATACGATTGACTTTATTGACCTTAGTACTCTAAATGAAAATATATATTTTTTATTTTTATCGGTGTACTAGTAAAACTGAAGTTAGAGAGGCTTTAAAGAAAATGAAGTGTGGAAAAACTATTAGACCTGATGATATTCTAATAGAGATATAGAAATGCTTAGGAGAATGAAGGAATTTCTTGACTTACTAAACGTTTTAATTTTATTTTGAAGACTTAAAAGATGTCAGATGAGTGGAGAATGAGTGTGTTGATTCTTGATTCATATTTTAAAGAATAAAAGTGATGCACAAGATTGTGCGAATTATAGAGGAATTAAGTTGATGTGTCATACTTCAAAACTTTAGGAGAGAGTTAAGGTTACGGCGTGATACTAATGTTTTTCAAAATCAATTTGAATTAATGCTGGGTAGGTCTACTATGGAAGTTATTTATTTATTGAGAGGGTTGATCGAGAAGTTTAGAGAGAATAAGGAGGATTTACATATGATATTTATTGATTTACAGAAAGCACACGATAAAGTTCCAAGAGAAGTGTTATGGAGAGTTCTAGAAAAGAAAAAGGATTAATAATGCTTATATTCAAGTCATTAGGGATATATATTCAGGAGCTGCTACTTGTGTTTAAACACAAAGTGATTTGACCAAGTATTTTCCTATTTTAGTTGAATTACATCAAGGATCAGCCTTAAGCCCTTATCTTTTTGCTTTAGTCATGGATGCTCTTACTAGACAATTGCAAGAAAAAGTATCATGGTGTATGCTTTTTGCTGATGATATTCTTCTTGTTGATAAGACTAGGGAGGGAGTTGAAGCTAAACTTGAATTATGGAGGTCAAGATTAGAGTTTAAAGGTTTTTGTTTGAGTAGATGTAAAACTGAATACATGGAGTGTAATTTTAGTAGTAATAGATCTAGTAGAGGGTTTGTGACTTTGAGCGATCAAGTCATTAATAAGTGCATTCATTTAGATATCTTGGGTCTATTGTTCAGAGTGATGGTGAAATAGATGGAGATATTTTTAGTAAAATTCAAGTTCGATGGTTGAAGTGGAGGAATGTTTCGGGTTTGTTGTGTGATAGAAAAGTACCACTCAAACTTAAGGGAAAATTTTATTAAATGGTGGAGACCTAGAATGCTTTATGGCGCAGAATGTTGGCCATTAAATGAGAAGCATAATATTAAGTTAAGTGTTGCTGAAATGAGGATGCTCAGGTGGATAAGTGGATTTACTCTTAGAGACAGGATATGAAACGAGCATATCCGTGAAAAGGTTGGAGTAGCTCCAATGATTATCCGTGAAAATGTTGGAGTAGCTCCAATGATAGATAAAATTAGAGAGAGTCGCCTTAGATGATTTGGTCACATAAAACGGCGGCCTTCTGATGACCCGATTAGGAGAATAGATGTATTATATTTGGCATATGTTAAAAAGGTAGAGGTAAACCTAAAAAGACTTATTTAGAAAATATTAGAAATGACCTTTCTTTATTAAATTTAAATGAGAATTTAACTTTTAACAGGACACAATGGAGAAAAAGAATTAATGTAGCCAACCCCACGTAATGGGATAAAGGCTTGATGTAGTTGTTTTTGTGTGTGTTGCTGAAAACCAAACACTGTAACTATACAGAATCAAAGCTGTCTAAGAGTCTTTCTATAGGCATATATTATTGATAAGATCAAAATGCAAAAACTCATACATGAGCTACACAAATATTATAATGGAAGGCAAAAATTGCAGAAAAAGATGACTACACAAAATTCATCAACTTATTCACAACTTGAAAGCCAAGAGAATTGGATTCTGCCCCATAATAAAAAGTTAAGAGATGGTATTATTTGATGATAACCTAACTGTCGACTCAATGTATGTATTCCATATGATGCTTAGAACCAATTAATTAGTGGTATCATTCAGCTACAGCGACAGAAAATTTCATTCTGCTCCAGATGTTTTTTTTTTTGGCAAACAAAAAGACAATATGCACTATCCTCAATGAGGTCTTCTATCGCCTGCCTAATGTAGATCTTACAAAGAAAAAATCTTAATGAGAATTTTACACTAACAATTTACCATTTGACGGGAAAAAAAAGTTAATAATTCAACAAAATAAGCAAATCAGTCTATAAAAGTTGACGGACTTCAGCAATTAACAGCTATCCAAAATTCAAATAAAAAAGCTGCAAGATCTGAGGATGGAATCTTTATTATGAATGAAAGAATCTGTAGACATCCTCTGTTTTCGACCATTTCTAAAAACCAGAAACATAAGCAACATATATATTCAAACAGTTGATCAGAGCCTGCACCCTTCAACCATTCCTTCTCTAATAATCAACCTCCACAATTTGTGGTAGCTTTTCGATACTCCCTTAACAAACTCAATAGTTACCTTTTTACCTTTGATTAATATATATATATATATATATATATTCACGACTCCAACAACGATACCAGACCCAAGCAAAACTCATGCAATGAATTGAAGCTAGCGATGTCCCGGATGACATGATACATTAGCTTGACTCGAGTTCTTTGAGCTTGATGTGGAGTAAGACACCTTCATCGGCGGTTAGGAATTTTCAATTCAGGGTAAAATAAAGACTCTCAACTACTTCCCTCCATGTGAGATGAAGGAAACTACGACCATCAGAAATTGAACTTCTAGAGAAAAAATGATATATCATTCTTTGATGGACATTTGCATATGGAAATTACTTGGATTGGGAGTAAGCCATAAGAAAATTTTTGAATGCAAGGAAATCATGTCGGATAAATATGTTAAATAGATGGGTTGTAGATAGAAAAGGGTATCTAGCTCCTGGTGGAATAAACTTCTACAGTTCCAACAATGAGAGGGCAAAGGACCTGTTTGAAGTTGCATCTAGACGAGGAAATAATGCAAAATCATTATTTACCAACCGATTTCAAGTAAATGTTATATGTACAATATCGGCATTGCTTGCAAAGGATAGGTATCATTAGTGAGCACACAAATGAGTTATAGATTAAGCGGAAAAACAAATCTGAATAAAATGAATGATCAACTTACTGCACAGATTAAGCGGAAAAACAAATCTGAATAAAATGAACAATCAACTCACTGCACAATACGTGGTGGTTTAAAGGAAGGAATCCAAGAGAATTTGGAGATGAACTCCATTTGAACCCTATCACATGCAGTAAATTTCGCATTTAAGGCAGAAATGCAGCTCAATATAGGATCTCATAACAACCACTATAGTATAGGCGTTCTTATGTAGAGTACAACAACACTTCGAAGGCAAAAGAGGGCTCCCTTCCATCCACTACTACTGGAAAATCATGATGCACAAGTGACAAAAGAAATGCAGATGGTAAATTTCGACCTAAGAGCAATATTCCTGAATGCAATAACCCATATGTCAAATCAAACACATTGAAGTGGTTTCATTGTATTCCTTCAGGGCATAAATCCAATGAAAGTCAAAATTGCAAGTACGTGCAATTTACTAAAGTAGAAATGACTGGTGAAAGTGAAAATGAAATACCCGATCAAAGGGAAGATTATGATGACAATAATGCGATTAGGGGGACGCCCTAGCCTGTATCCTTGAGAAAATCTTGATAGCTCCTTGGCAATCAGTTTCTACTCAATAGCATGCCATTTTTAGAACACATTATGCAATTAATGGGAAGGTTTGAAAAGTACTAAACGACAATGAGTGCATAGAGAATCTGATATCTAGCACTATTGTGAAGATATTGAACTTACCACCAAACACCCTCACCCCTATAAGATTAGTTGGGCTGGTGCATGGCTAGAGATACTTATTACGCAAATGTGATGGGTAACCATTTCAATAGGTAAATTCTTTTTAAGTGAAGTCTCTTGTGATGTGCTTGATATGGAGCAGTATTGCCACAAGATGGTCAACCAATGGAAATTTTCAATGAAAAATTAAGATGCACAATCCAAACATAGATTGTTTACAAGCAAGACTTGTATGGTACCATCCATGCCCTCAATAATTGAGAACATTATCTTTTAAATAAAGATTTTGTACTGTCTAACGACCATTAAGCCTTACAATACTTTCAGAATTCCCAAAAGAACATTATTAGATTACAAAAAATATGATTTTTTTTTACAGAAGTTCAACTGCGTTCAAACAAAAGGTTGGAAGTCAAAATAAATTTGCAGACGTGATCAACTGTTGCTACCACCTACTTGCGGCATTGCAAACAAGCCTTACAGACTTCTAGAACCAAAAGGAGCTCTATTAGGATGACGCTGGCATTGCAAACATCTAGAATAAGTGTTGAAATCATCAATAGACAGCCAACCTCTCTATAAGGCATGGTTACCCGTTCAAGGGAAATCAACATTACATCCCGCGAGCTTTAGTCCGAGAGCAGCTTATACAAGACTTACACTTAATGGGTTAGTTGTGCGTTTTGGCAGAAACAAAACACTAGATCTGTTCCACTCTCGCTTCATTGGCCAAAATTGCAATGTGATGTCATTCATTTTGTGGAGTGACATCCAGTTTGCAAGGACATGACACAGAACCAAGATTTTAAAAATTGGACCAGACGGTCCGACCAATTCAACTGTGAACTGGTCATAAGACCATTTCGATCCATTCTGAAAACCGCTTCTGCATAAAACCGTCTATAACTGACCAGAATCATTGGTTCAATCGACAAACCGATGAACCAGTCCTGATTCCTTCAAACCAGCCAGTTCAATTGCATAATTAATTAAACAATTAAATAAGGTAATTTATTACATTAAGGATTAAATGTCAAATATTATATAATATTCACAATTTAACAAATTAATTTAAATTTAAATACTTAATTTTTAAATAAACATGAAATCCTTATCATAATTATTTGCCGCAAAACACCAATAAAGCATGTTCACATGGGCCCACCACTTTATATGAGTTCTAACACATACAAACCCAAAACGATATATAAACAATAATAAGAAAAAGTTTCCAAGTGATGTAGAACTAAATAGGTGAGTTGATGTTATGAAGCTCATAACATATATAGTATAAAATTTTGAAGAGATTTTTTAATTAATTCTTTATAATGTGAATAATATTTATTTTTTAGCTAATAATATTTATTTATTTATTTATTTGTACATACACATTAAAAAATAATTTTTACTTATTTATTAATGATAAATTATTTAATATAAAATATTTATAGATAAATTTATATTAAATGTAAAAAAATTAAAAATTGAATGCATTTAAATTTAAAATTATAGAAACTATCGTTTATGTAAGTTTTTTATTTATTTTTAGTCATAAATTTATCTTTTTACATGATTATTATAATATTATTATTTTATTTAGATAATATTTAAATAATTTTAATATTATTACATCATTCGGTCCAATGAATCCCAGTCGAACCATTGAACCTCTCCTTCCGATTCAATGTCAGATCCGGTTTTCATAACCATGCACATAAATCTAGTTTACCTCCACATCTTGTTCCCGATTCAATTTGGGAATATCATAGCTAAGGTTTCAGCTTTGGCTTACCACGGGCTGAGCGAGGTGTCAACCCTATTTTAGTCGAAGTTGACCTATTTTAAATGATGGCACACTTCGAAATAAGAAAACCTTTTGATGCTATGTACGATTATTTTTCTGTGATATTGTGTGCCTTTACGGGCTGCCTCAAAGTTTAATCCAAGAACGGGACACAAAATTCATCATTTGCCTAGTGGGAATTATGGCAGATGCTGAAAAAGGACATTTGTCTTAGCTATTTTTACCACTCCTAGACTGATGGCAACCCAGAGATGGTCAATCAGACTCTAAGAAACATGTTATGTTGTTCAGTATCTGACAATCCAAAATAGTGCAATGAATTTCTCAATCAAACTTAATTCGCCTACAACTCAATGATGAATTGATAAACCAGGCGTAGTCCATTTAGCATTGTCTACACAAAAGCTCTTAATCACATAGTTGAAATAGACACCTTACCAAAATGCAAGAGCTAGGCGACTGCTACACTAACTCAGACATTTTCCAAGGTGCTGCAAAATGTCAAAGAAAAACTTGAAGAATCGAACAATAAATATAAACAAAAGGTTGACACTCATCGACAGCAAAAATTATTCCAAGAGGGGATCATGTTATGGTTAGGCTCTCCCTGGAAACATATTCAAAACTAAAACCTCACAAACTAGGCTTGTTTCCTATATCTAAAAAGATCAATGACAATGGTTATGCTGTTTCAATTTCTCGAAACTTACACCTATCGCCGCCTTTAATGAAACTAACATCTACAAATCACCAGATATAGCGGCCATCGAACCTGAGTCAAGCTCTTATCAGGTAGAGGAGATATGATGCATCCTGCATCATTTGACAATAAATTTTCATCTAATAATTATACTCCACGCCCTGCGACAATTTTTTGATACTCCATTAACAAACGAATTAGTTAACTTCTTATCCTTTTTAAATTTATGTTTCTATTTTTTTTATTTTTTTTTCTTAAACCGGCTCCCCACTGGTAGGTGAGAGTATATATGGTTGGACGTTATTTTACTCGAGATCTTTTGGATAAAAAAATAATGTAAGTTCTACTTCTTCCCACCAAGAATTTATTCTTAATTCAGTTATTTTCCCACTTGATCTGCCTTGTGTGCGTTCCATTCCTTATGCACTTCTACGGCAGAATTCAAGTGCAAATGTTTGAGTTATCCTAAATGGATGCATAACTATGTCAAATCAACAAACAGTCACAAGAAGAAGATGAACAAAAACAACTATTATTAAACCCACATAGCATGATAAACACCTGCAACACTTGATGAATCTTCTACCATGCGGCCGCCACCAAGAGCCCCTCCAGATACATGAAGCCTTGCATTAACAAAAACCTAATAGAATGTTTTAGCAAGATAATTATATTTCTGTTTATGACAAATGATGTTATAAAATATGGTAGAGAAAGCCAAGAATGACCCTCACAGCTGCATGTTGGTACCGTGGAGAAGGAGAGACCCCTGGGGCAATAGCCCACTCCCAACGCCCATCTCTATGCTTCGCAAGGCCATATGCACTTGCCAGAGGCTATAGTACAAGAAAAAGGAGAAAATAAAATTGTTATGGACCACGCGGGATATAAGTAAGCATATAATAATAGAAAGAACAGATAAAGCAAACGCAAGATATAAAGACATTCACTCCTTTGAATTGGTTTAAGTAGTGCTGTTGCAACTTGCACTTATCAAGCCTCGGTGAGGAGCAAAGCGCATTTCCAAACCAAATTCTTTTCAGCCAAAATAACATCATGAAACAATGATATGAATGTACACAAGTAACAGGCTAAAATAAACTGCTAGGTTATTAAAAAAAAAAGGATAAAAAAAACACAATTTTTAAGTGAAATACAACTAAGCTAACAACAGTAATATTGATCAATGCAAATCGATGAGCACAAATTACTCTCATGGTTTGTTTACTGAACCTCTTAAAATAAAAAAATAGCATATAAAAATACTGCAGAAACGTATAAACCTTACAACAACAACATCGAGCCTTTATCTCACTACGTGAGGTCGGCTACATGAATCATTTTTCTCCATTGTGTTCTATTAAAAGTCAAATTCTCGTTTAGATCTAATAGAGAAGGATCATTTCTAATATTTTCTAATCAAGTCTTTTTAGGTATGTCTCATGTACTCTTAATAATGACTTGATCGCCCAAAGTCACAATCCTCTCACTAGGTCTATTACTACTAAAATAACAATCCATATATTCTGTTTTAGATCTACTCAAGCGAAAACCTTTAGACTCTAAGGTTGACCTCCATAATTCAAGTTTACCTTCAACTCCCTCTCTAGTCTTACCAACAAGAAGAATATCATCAGCAAAAAGCATACACCAAGGTACATCCTTGACTAAAGCAAAGAGATATGGACTTAAGGCTGATCCTTGATGTAACCCAACCGAAATAGGGAAATACTTGGTCAAACCACCTTGTGTTTGAACACAAGTAATAGCTCCTGCATACATATCTTTAATGATTTGAATATAAGCATTATTAACTCCTTTCTTATCAAGAACTCTCCATAGCACTTCTCTTGGAACATTATCATAAGCTTTTTCTAAATCAATAAATATCATATGTAGATTCTCTTTATTTTCTCTATATTTCTCCATCAAACCTCTTAATAAATGTATGGCTTCCATAGTTGACCTACCCGGCATGAATCTAAATTTATTTTGAGAAACATTAGTATCACGCCGCAACCTATGCTCCATAACTCACTCCCATAGTTTTAAAGTATGTCACATTAACTTAATTCCTCTATAATTCGCACAATCTTGTGCATCACCTTTATTCTTAAAAATAGGAATTAACATACTCATTCTCCACTCATCTGACATCTTATACTGACAATAATAAGAATCCTAAAATATTCTGACAGATAGCTCACCATCCATATACGTTCCAAATCCAAATACTAAAGATGAAGATTACGAAGATATTTTGAAGTGTATGCTGTACAACAGAAAGATGGTTTGAACAAGTTTATTATACTAGAAATTCTCCAATCTTTACATAAATAGTACTAATTCTAGGCTGAACAACTTAATACAACGTATAAAATATCCACTCAAGGAATGAGTTTCTGTTGCCTATATCTTACAATATATAAATATGAAAATCTACATACCAAAAGGTCAAATAGTAGAAGATTCAAAAATTCCTAGAAGTCGGAATCGAAGCCACTCTGCACACAAATCAATAAATGGAATGTTCTATAAATGATTTTGATGTGAATTTCAAAGTGGCTTTTTCTTTTTTTGTTTCTTTGGCCAGCTCCATAGCACATGCAATGTTTTTTGCTCTTATGAAAAAATCTAGAGATAATTGCAATTTTTATTACTGTTTGATTAAACTGAGAGCTGCTTTTCCTGGGAAAAACCAAAGATAACGCCGAAATGATATAGTTCTGCAAAAGGCCATTAACTTTTTACAATAGTAGGAATCCGGAGGTCATTGAAGGAAGTTACAGTCCCAGGAGCTACTGAAGGTCGTAGGACTCTGATGGCATATATCTTAACAGCCGCATATAGGTGGCTACAGTAAGAGGAATGGAATACCGAGGGCTTTCCAATTTTATCAAAACTCTTCTTCTCCCTGGATGGATGTCAATTCATTCACCTTGACCAAATGTGACGCATGATGGAACTAAGAGGAAACAAGTGTGATGATTAATGGAACTTAGGAGAACACACCAAAAGCAATTCAATTATAATACTTTCTTTTGATTGATTCCATCTTCTTATTCTTTCCATCTCCTTTGGTCCTTGTGTGAGTACACTTACACAGTTGTGCATTGATAGGAAATACTTGAATTCGCAAGTAACCCTAAGGTTATACTTGAGTTCTCAAGCAATCCTAACACAAAATGAAGAGCAAACAGCAGCCAATCGGCTGTCCACAGCAGAAAAACAGCAAAATCACAAGAAAAACTGAGAGAAAACTCAAGAAGAAACATGGATTCCACTAGACGATGAATAAAATAGCAAGATACAAGAGATCCTCAATTCGAGAGGAGGATCGTCTCTCCCAAATTTCTAGACAAGGTTGTATAGAGCCCAAACCTCCAAGAAACCCTAATTTCAATTAATCAAAACATGAAACATCCCTAATTCCCTCATGCACTTTAATATCCAACCTTCCTAATACAATTTCCCTCCTAAACCCAAGTCCCTCCCCCTCTATTCAATTTTTCAAAAATCATTAGATGGTGTGGGGCCCATCAGCATTGGCGGAACAGCCAAAGGAGGCGGCTTGTTCCGCCTCCTGTCATGCATAAAGCAATGCATTACGACTCTGGCAAGCGGGAGCCCGGTGCGGGCTGCATGAAGCAATGTGTTACGACTATGGCATACGGGAACAGCCATCCGCGCCTTGCCTAGACTGGCTGAAACCAGCATAAAATTTGGGCAGGATCCAGATCAGCAGGGAAGGAATTTCGTCCCCTCTTGTGGGACCTAGGAAAATTGTAATTCATTATGTAGAGATAACGAATCAAGGGGAATTGTTTAGGAAAATCTTAATTAAAAGTAGGAGTGAATTATTTAAGAAAATATATCCAATTTGAATTCAAATCTGAGAGAGAATTATTTTGGGAAAAGAGGCTAATTTGAGAGGGGATTATGGGAGCTTATTTGAATTACATCAACAACCTTTATTAGCCTAGACTAATGAATGAGGTATTGCACCCTTTTCTAGATAAATTCATAATAATTTGTCTCAGCAATATTTTGATGTATAACAACATCTAGAAGGAGCATCTACAACAACATGAGTAAATTTTGAGGCTTCTTTAAGTTAAACTTGTATTAAACCTTAAGAACTTTCAGTTTGAAAGCCTTAAGCTTGTTTACCTCAGCTTTATCACATGCAAAAGAGAGCTACAAATAGATCCAAACAAGTTAGCAGCGATTCAAATGTAGTATTTAAAATTTTTTAAAAAGGTAATATTAAAATGTCCTAATTTTTTTATGTATCAATTTTCATACAGCAACAACAACAAGCTTTTATCCCACTACATGGGGTCGGCTACATGAATCCTTTTTCTCCATTGTGTCCTATTAAGAGTCAAATTCTCAATTAGATCTAATAAAGAAAAGTCAATTTTAATATCTTCTAACCAAGTCTTTTTAGGTATACATCTACCTTTCTAAACATATGTCAAATCTAATACATCTACTACTCTCCTAACTGGATCATCAAAAGGTTGCCGTTTTATGTGACCAAACCATTTAAGGCGACTCTCTCTAATCTTATCTTCCATTGGAGCTACTCTAAACTTTTCATGTATATGCTCATTTCGTATCATGTCTCTAAGAGTAAAACTATTCATCCACCTGAGCATCCTCATCTCTGCAACAATTAACTTAATTTTATGCTTCCCTTCTAATGGTGAACATTCTGCGCCATAAAACATTGCAGGTCTAACCACAATTGCCCAAAAATGCTCAATGGCTCAAATACAAGAATTTAAAATTGCAATACCTCGCCTTATATAAAAATACTCATACATAAATTATCATAGGTATGACAAAGTAGATCATAGATATATGAATCTTAAACCATAAAATATTAAATTAGCTCAAAACTACATCATGCATTAATACATTAACACTTTAAGAAAGAGAAGCATCAGATATGCAAGAGTTGTTTCAACAAATTTCTATTCTTATTTTATAATATCTAATGATACAATTGAGGTCTCATCCTTTGCTCAAAAGCCATCTTTTATGAATTCTCTTTTTTGAGGAGGGAAATTACCACACAAAAGTTTTCTTGTGAGATAGTAAAATACCATATGGTGAAGAGTATAATTTGGTAGAGTGGCTTTTCAAACTCACCACACTATTTGCATCTCTCCCTCCACAAAGCAAAAGGAGACCATCGGAGCGTGCACTTGCAGTTGCATACCTAAAAAATCAGAAAGGAGATCAAATTAAGTTTTTTTCTTTTTGAGACAAACCAACGTATAAAAAATTCCATGTGCTGTCTTCCTAGAAACTCATATGAGGTCACTAATAATCTAGCACCTCAAATGGGAGGAAGTCATAGCTTTAAGACTTGCAATAATTATTTGTCAAGTTCAGGAACATTTCTTAAATAGTACAGGGCTTTCCATTCCTAATGTGAGATGTCATTACATGACACAAATATGCACATGCACATGCTCATGCAAAATGCTGAGACACGAGTGACATACTTTAGGCAAATATTTTGACAAATTTTCTACATGTTGCTTTAGTTTTGAAAATTCATTCAAAGCCAATTCACCCCACCCCTCTTGGTTGTATGTATAGGCCAACAAAATTTACAAAATAAGAAAAGAGAAAAATGCAACACAAACAATAAAATGATTTAGCGTACTTTGAAAAAGAATAAAGCAAATTAAATCAAGTTATCGCATATAGAAAACACTAATGAAACAAAAAAGGAGAGCTATTATTGTATTCACGATACAATATCACTACAATGAATGGAGTAACAACCCCTCTCATCCTCTGGGAAGAAGTCAAAAAGGGATGGGACTAACCATGAAAGTAGAAAGAGCATGATAGCATTGCGTGTCAAGCATTCGTAAGTATGAGTTCACAACACACTAAATATGGTTTAACCACTTACATAATGAAATTAACCACATACATAATGAAATTAAGCAGCATAACACAGATCAAGAAAACATTATCAAGTGACGAAAAAAATTGCTTTCATAAAACAAAATGATTAAAAAACTCACATGCACGGAGGTGGGCCTTCACCTTCAGGTTCCAACTTCCTCCACTCATAAGGTTTAGCCGCAGTGTCGAGCGCCCAAACATCAGCTAGAGGCCTCTTCCCTAGAACATTATCAATTGTTAACTTCCCAAGCATTTTAGGAACCATCGGAACAAAAAACTAGTTTTTATTGGTTGCATGATAGGAAAATAGTGTGCATTCAAATGAAAGCCCTACCATCATTTCCACCAATGCATAATAGAAATCTCTGACCCACTAAAGCCATAACATGGCCATAACGTGGCCCAGGACCAGGTCCTTGAACAACTACTCTGCATAAATTATAAATATAATTCAGCACTAACACACATCCTAGCGAATCAAACTTTAGCTCAAAATATATTAAATACCGGTGCCAACGTGATCGTTGTTGTGTTAAATCCAGGACATGAAGGTCCTCTGCTGATAAACCAGCAGGGCCAATCCCACCCTACATTACCAATACAAAGAGAAATTTTGGTTAATATTCTTCATACACAATGTTTCTCCTCAAAATTCAATTTAAAGTTTTAATCTACAATTAATTTAAGTATTTCAAAATGACACAAGTTCATGTTAGGCAGGCTAACCTGAATTACTACCATGGTGCCCACAGCTGTAGCAACATGTGCAGCTCTTGGTGAGGGTGCTTCCCCATTTGGAGTGAGCCTAAAATCATATTAAAGCACAACTACCATTTACAAAAGTTAATGATGAAAAATAAATATTTTCAATAAAATTTTGAAAACTAAGGGATGTGAAATGATTTTAAAAAAAAAAATTTTTTTGGTATCAATATATTAGAACAAAGGAGATGTGCAAAATTGAAATTATTATAGATGAATAAAATTTATGAGATATAATAAATGTATGAGAGATAACAATGGAACATAGACTTAGAAATATTACATTAGAATCTCAAAAACAATTTAATTGCATGCCAAAAGAAATCACTTTGTAAATGATTTTTTGTATTAAGAAAATTAGCATTAATCTTTAGAGAGAAAAGAAATTATCTTCATATGATTTTCATTGATCTAGAGTAGTTAAATGATCAAGTATCATAAGAATTGATTTATTGCACATTAATAAGAAAAAAAGTAATATCAAAGTTATGTTAAAGTTATTAATAATATATATGATGGAGAGTTGACTAGCATAAAAATTTTTTAGTAGATGATGAGTGACTAAAGAGCTTTTAATTATGATGGGATTAATCAAAGAATAAAATTGAGATTATATATATAGTTATTGAGATGTTTATAAATAGTAGTCGAAGCGAGGTGTCTTATTTATACTTTTTAAAAAACTACATGATTTTAATCGATGAGACATTTATTGAAATAAGAGGAAAGCTAAAACAATGGGAAAAGCATTTACAAGCTAAACAACTTGAAATTCGTAGAACAAAGCAAGGTATACCATATACATTTTTATTGGGGGTGGTATTTAAAATTATTAATTAATACTATTAGAAAATAAAATGATACTAAGGAATGATAAGTTTAAATGCCTAAGATATATTTTACATAACAAATGTTATATAGATTTGCTCATGAGAATATAACTTCTAGATGTAAAGTTTCGTATTTAACATGGGTAATTTCCTAAAGTGTATTATACAATAATAGAATATCACAAAAACTGTATATAAATTTTATGCAACTTCAATTAAGCCTGCAATGTGTGTGGATCCAAGCATTGGGTAGTAGAAAATTGTTGATTGCAAAATTGAGTGTGATAAAATAACAATGTTCAAATGGATGCGTAAAAAAGACTATGAAGAATAAATTGAGGAATGATTGAATTAGAATGGTGGTGAAAGTAACATCTATTTAAGATAGGATAGTAGAAAGTAAACTTATGTGATTTGGACAATGAAGGACATAAAATGTACTCATTAAACATGTAGAAACAATTAATGCCAATGGATTAAGAAGGAAAAAAGGCAAACTGATTCTAGAATAATAAAAGTTTAAAAAGATTCATGCAAAATAAGTTAAACACCTCATGCAATACTCAATTGGAACTAATGAAAATCAAGATTCTTAAAGCCAACCTATATATTTGAGAGTGGAGTCATTAAACTAGTGATGGTGATAATGATGATGATGGTGAAAGATGAAAAAATAAATACACATAAAAAAAAAACACAGAAGAGCCCATGGTAATAAACTTTCTAGAAAACAAGTTGAAGATGGTTAGAAGCTTACCTTGTCCATCTATTCTCAGTAACATCATAACAATGGACATCAGCAGTTGCCCCTGCCAAACCTGCAAGCCAAGTCAAGTATTTTCAGAGACTATCTAATATTGAGCCCTCTATCCAAGATTAAACATAACAAATTGACATGTTTCAACTTCCAAATAGAAAGAGAGGCAACCACAAACACTATAAATTCTTAAACTTCATTTTATTTAGCCAATTCCCCACATATAAAACTAAACCTTCTTTTTTCAGAAAAAATCCTAAGGAATTCAGCCTCAGCCCGTCTACCCCACAATTCCAACAAAAGGAAGGTAAAGCCTAGCTTTTCCCATACAATATATGGAACCAAACGAAGGATACTTACGAATACCAGCGCTACCGGCTGGCGACGGCGGCGTGGCAGAGTTTCCCTCAAGGGCCGTGGCACCGCCAAACAGGATCAGTCTCGGGCCGATATACCCGGGCGTTCCTTCTTCCCCGACTGCCGCTACTGCCGTGAGCGTGTGCCCACAGCGCGAGCCGGACCCATCCTCCTTCTTCTCAATAATAGCGTTCAACACCGTGTAGGTCGGAGCTGGCCTTGGCCCTGCCGCCGCGACCACAGCCGTCGCTGTCTGCTTCTGATAATCAGGCAGCACCACCGCACCCTCTTGAGGTATTGGCGCTAGAGGATCATTAAGGTGGTTAGAAACTACAGTCGCGGGGGGGTTGTGGTCGTATTCAGTGGACATAGCCGAATCGACGTCCATCGCCGTGATGCAGCAGAGATCGGTAAACCAGGGATCGATGCCTCAGCCTACAAGCGCCGCAGTGCATTCCGTATCGCCGTTGCCTCCTGTCGCCCGATCCTATGTGATAGCGGCGTTCGGGATGAGTAAAAAGAGAGAGAGAGAAGAGGAGACCACCAAGGGAAAAGAGGCTTGCAGTTATAGCTCCCGTCCGGTAGATAATTCGCAGGTGTAGAAGAGGACGAGAACCAGATATCGAAGAACGGATTAGTCACTACAAATTCGGAGAGGCCAGAAGAGCGCGAGCGAGAAAGAGATGAACAAGACGACGAAGAGAGCGCGCAGAAATGCGGCGAGGGAGAAAAGAGTGATAATATTTCCCGTCTTTAATTCTGCACCGCATTTCATTTTTCTTTTTCTTTTTTGTCATATTTTTGCAAGCTTATTTCATTAGGGGATAATTTCATATATTTTAAAATTTTACAATTTATTTTTTAAAATCTTAAATTAAATGTTATTATCTTTAAAATACTTATATATGGAATACTTTACTTTTTTTACTTCAAACCAAATAGTCCTAATTGGCTGTTTTTTTTTTTTTTAAATCAATATTCAATTATCCTTTTTTGCCATAATTCTAGATTTACTATAGCCAAAAGTTTGGCATGTTAGCAAGATTTGGCCAAAGAAGCGTGACAAAGAAGAGACAGATTGTTATCTTCACAGCGAGCTAGCTCTCGTCTTTACTTTTGATCTGATGTTGTCGAAGGAGAGATGTTGTCGAAGGAGACGAAAAAGCATCTTTAGCGATGCTACTTCATGCAAACCACTCAAAGTTGAAATAGTAATGAAGAAATGGCCACGAGGAAAAGCAAAACATTAAAACATGAAGAGCATAGACAAATATCAAAGAGAAGATAAATGAAAGAAATAGACATGCAATAGCAGAGAAGAATACCATATACTCTGTCTAAACTCTATTTTTGCTCATATTACATTTTCTTAATTTTTACTGTTTTCCCCACACTCTACTATTAGTTAAATTATTTGATAAGTAAGCTAGCTTTTAATTATATTATTTACAGATATAACTTATTGATGGTAATTAAATTTAAACTTAATAAATAAGTCGTATTCAAAATATAAATTAAATTTAAAACACAAATTAATTTAATTTTCTTATGAAACAAATTACATGAGCCACATTTCCAAAGAATTTCGTAGGATTTATCATGACTTAATATTCTTTTGCCAAACATGTTCTTAGAATTTAACATGCTCAGAATTTAGTAAATTCGGATTTACAAAATTTACTAAATCAATCCTTCTTTTTGCAAAATAGCCCCTAAGTGAAGGAAATGGATCTTATCTATTTAAAAATTGTTCAAAGTTGAAAATGGTGCTTTTATTTGACTCACTTTCAAAATTTTATTAGGAAACCCTAAATTTATCTAAATGAGGATGCATGTAATAAGAAGAGGGGTACATAAGAATGTTGTGATACCCAGAATCTAATTTGAAAGAATTATTCATTTATCTTTTAATAAACAACAACCAAAATTATTTAATATCATCTATCAATAATAAACAACGAAACGGATTCCATAATTTAAAACATCAATGTACATATTTATATTCATTCTCAAAAATTATATACACTACTCATGATCTATACAAACCATATTATAACTATTTTATCCTGAGTCTAAAAGAATAAATAAAAAAAAAAAGAAAAAAAAAAGAAATAGAACATGAAGAACCTGACCAGCCTCACAATCCTGCTCTCATGCCCTAACCTGGAATCATTTAACCACATATAATGAGCTTAAAGAGTCCAACATGTCACCAAAACTTACAACTGAATTCACAATACAATAAAGGAGTAGTATGCATGTCAGGGATCAAATCATAGCATTAACATTCATATGATTATTGAATCAGTGTAAAAAAAAGTAAAATTCACATACAATAGTAGTAGAATCTATAAATAGTAAAACACGACGGTATAGAAGCTAGTAAAGAAAGAAATTAGTATGAGTATCAAATCTATAAAGTAATCATTGTATTTATAGTATCAATCACTATAGAAAATTGTATAAAGTATCAAATCAAAATATCGATAAATAATGTCGAAATCATGTCAATGTAGGAAAAACATATAAGAGTGTACACATGCTATCCAAGCCTCCTATATCATGTGCTCATTATATTACATGCTTAGTATAAGTATATTGAATCAATATTATCAAACAATATCAGTATCCATATGGGTAATAATAACAATCTAGTGGCATAAGCAGTAAAATAATATAATAACAGTAAATCCGTGCAGTATTAATAAATCCGTACAATAATAAGAATAACTCTCAACCAATATATCACGCGAATTAGTATATGATAATACCAAATCATTTTATTGAAAGGAAAGTCTACCAGCCCATCATCCTATATAGATCAACCAATCTCCAACCAATAGGTCAACCAGTCTTTACTTGTTTGTGCCATGCACATACATTATTATCGCAATACTATAACAGTAATAGAGATCAGTTATTACTCAATCACATATCCACATCCATTTTCAATGCATTATAGCAAATAATGCATAATTGAGTTTAATTGAATTACTCTATTTCTGATTTCAAATATTTTGTATTTTTAATATTTTTCTAATCAAATTTGTATTTTAGTTACCGAATAATATGAATAATTTTTTTCTTAGTAAATCTTTCACAACGTAACTTTTTGTATGTTATATAGATCGATATTATTAACATTTTGAATATTTATTTGAGATTTTTCACATAGTGATTTTGAAAATATAATAATTTTTGTCTATCTAGAAATTCATTTTGACTTCTAAAAATAGTAGTGTAATATAATAAAAGTCTTAAAACTTCATTTTACATAATTCCTGATAATTTGATAATTTTCTAAAAATATATATTTTTGTCTAATAGGATTATTTGTTGTCTACCGTTATGACATTTTGGCCTCTTCATTAACGATGGCCCGTCTAGTCTAATCTCATTCTTAATGAAAAGTTGAAATCTCTGAATGTTAGAATGTTTACCTCTACATCCTCTCGTGCCTCTTGGATAATCCAAAGAGTTAAAGCATAGTGGCTCTCTAATGGGAAGGAAGATCTCAAATTCTTATATGGCAATATTAAAGTGAGATTAAATGATAATTTCATAAAAGAGATTTCTACAGATGTTGGGAACTTTTCTTCTACTCAGGACCTCATCAATTTTATTATTTAGCATTTCAAAACCTTATTCAACTATATGTATTGTAACACACCAATCTCCAAAGCATCCCTGTTAGTCACACTGTTCTTGCTGATCTTATTCCCAATCTTACTGCTCCTGTTTCTAATGAGGAAACTAAAAATGCCATCTTCTCTAGCCCTGGCTCTTCAAGCCCAAGACCGGATGGCTTTACATTTGCATTTTATAAGAGCTTTTGGAACATAATTGGCCCTCAGGTTCGTAATGCAATCGAGTTTTTCTTTAACTCCTCCCTGTTACCTAGAAGGGTTAAAGCTTTTATCATTGCATTAAGTCCTAAAACGCATAATGCTAGCAGTATTACAGACTTTGAACCTATATCTCTATGCAATACTTCCTATAAATTATTGCTAAAATCCTTACCTGTAGGTTCAAGCATGTTATGCCTCATATTATACATCCAAGTCAAGTTGGCTTTATCCATAAATAATATTATTCTAGCATTTGCAATATTGAGATTATTTAATCATGCTATACAATCTAAAATGTGTTGTACTAAATTATATATATACAAACATTTTGATACAGTCTCTAGAAGTTTGCTCCTCAAGAGACTAGAACAAAAAGGTTTTATGCTCATCTTTCTCAAATGGATCAGAGTTTGCATTGAGGAGACCCATTTCTCAATTTGCATCAATGGTGCTCTAGAAGGATTTTTGAGTCCTCATTTGGATTAAGGCAAGGTTGTCCATTATCTTCATATCCTCTTTTTTTTTTTTTTTTTGCATTATTATGGATGTCTTATCAAATCTTTTTGATAATTATGTTGCTAACTGCATATTTGATGGAATTCTTGTTGAGCACAACAATATTACTCATCTTTTATATGCGAATGGCCTTCTTATTTTTTTGCAAAGCAAATCTACAAAATGTAAGCTTGCTGTTTTGGATTTGTTTTGGGTTTACATATCAATTAGGCTAAAAGTTAAATAATTTTCTCTCATAGCACACCATGAATCTAAGAAATTTGCAATATTCTAAATTTGAACCATGGAATCATTATTAAATATTTGGGTATCTCTATCTCCAGTAAGAGATTAAGAATTACAAACTTTCAATCTTTGTTGCAAAAAAATCACCTCCCTATTGGATGGCTAGAAAGCCAAGCTCCTATCTCTTATTGACAGATTTATTCATTTCAGAATTTCGAACACCCTTGCATATTGGATCAGTGATGCAATTTTATCAAAAACCTGCTGTGAATTCATTGAAAAAATATGTTCTAGATTTCTTTTATATGACAACATTAATACTATGAAGTTGCATCTCATATCTTGGAGAAATACGTGTTTCCCAAATCTAGGGGTGGATTGGGATTCCTTCGAGTCAAGCTCTCTAATCTTTATCACGCATATAGTTGTTCTCTCATTTGGCGGCTCTTAACATGTGACAACCTTTCTTACTTGCTAGTTCAGAAATAAATATGTTTCACCTTGGAAGCTCTTGTCTTCCAAACTCTTTGCATTCTAGAAACATTTGAGTTTAATTGCTCGAAAAGTTAAATCAAATTTCTCTTTTACTATTTCCACTTCTAGCAACATTTATTTATTTTGGGGTCCCTAGTGTCAAGGCCCCGATCTCTTCATAAACTGGTCGATCTATGCTCCTGAGATTTACATTTGAACTCTTTTGTATTTTCCATCATTCTAAACAATTAATGGAATTTGCCCCCATTCACTTCCAATTACTATACATGAATGCATATATTCTATTGCTATACTTGATGGGAACTTTTTTGGTCCTCATTGGTGTGGATCAACAAACCAAGGTTTAAATCCTTCATTGAGACTATTGCAATAATAACTAGCAAGTTATTTTGGCATAAATTCATCTCGCATAAAAATTATTCTCTTCGTTTTTCTTCTTATGCTTGGCTTTTGCTTGTTGGGGGGTTAAAGACAGCTTATCAGTTAATCAGGAGAAATATTCCAGCTCTCCCTATTGCAACCTTTGTAATGAGCAAGATGAATCTTCTTCTCACTTATTTTTTCAATCCGATTTCTCAACTCCGTTGTCATGGGCAGGCAATTTTGTTGCTTCTTAAAATAATTTTTTAATACAAAATATAAAAATTTTATACTAAAAAACTGCTTTACAAAACAACAAGAAAGCCATTTCAAACAAAACCTATGCTGCTCTATATATCACTTATGAAAGGAAAGGAATGACAGAAGATTTAGAGGATCTATATGTAGCAGCTCTACCATATGCAACAACATCAGGAAATCCAATCTCTTAAAATTTTATAAATGGAAGAAATTCAATGAGATCAAACATTTCATATCTTGATTGTTTCTGGTGCTGTAGCTTTTGCTAATCCTGTTGCTATGGTGGATAATTTTGGTTTGATGATTGTTTTGTATTTTGCTGGGCCTCCTTTTTTTCCTTTCTGTGCTAATTAATGTCAGGCATGGCTTCCAGGAAATGCCATATGATCCTCTCATCCTTATGCTTTTTCCCCATGGAAGGCCTCTTTGGCAACCAGAGAAGATCTTCAGTGCTTGGATGCTGCGATTTTTACTGAATATTCAGTTTATCTTTGAATGGATCTATTAAGGCTTCGTTTGGACAACTTTTTTATTGCTTCTTAAAGCAACTTTTTTATTGCTACTAGAAAGCTTCTTCTTTCTAGTAGCAGTAAGAAAGTTGCTTTAAGTAGTAAAAAAGTCATCTCAGACGAAGCCTAAGTATATACTGATATTTATTTTGATGCTCACTCCTGGGATTTCCAAATGCTTCAATCATCTTTCTCTTGGATGGTCATCATGGTAGCCAAGCTCTCCCCTTTGAACAATAGTTTCAACAACCAGGGAAACATTTACTATGACTAATTTTTACAGTTTGAAGGGTGTTGTTTTACACATTCTGAGCCCAATATTTTGACATTTTGAATGATTGAAGCCAACATTGGAAACAAAAAGACACGGCTATGGGCAAATTATAGGGACAGAAAAACACAATAAAATATGAGAAAGTTATGCTAGATTTGGCTTCAAGAAGATTTTATTAAAGTTAAGGAGATCATAAAAAGGAGAATTTGGCCAATTCATGATATCATGACTAAATTAAATAATTTTTTACTATCATACAATGATAATATCCATGATTACATATAATATAAGATTTCTAGAAACTACTCTTCAAAAAAATGATCATGCATCATGAATCTAAGGAGCTCTCCTAGTCTTCACCAATCTCTCTCTTCTCAGTATCCCTATGGAATAGCATTGGCTGAACCCACCAATGGCATGCCCATAGATGGAGTCTTCTCAGAAGAAAGACTCAATCGCAGAGGCCGACCGGCCACCATCTGAATAACAGAATCAATCATAGTTTCATGATCATATTTCTTGAAAGAACAAGAATAATATTATATTTCATAATAAATTCATATTTTAAGTAGCACCACATTAGCTCATAAAATTTAGGCTTCATTTGAGGTGGTTTTTTTACTGCTTCATAAAACAGCTTTCTAGTGTCCAAATATTTAATTTTGTAATAAAAAGTTATTTTAAGAAGCAGTAAGAAAGCTGTCCCAAACAAAGCCTTAAATTTACCAGTTGATGTTATAAAAAAGGTGCTAATTTAATAATCATCAAGAAATTCTACATTAGGATAAAACATGAAAATAATTCATAATTGATAAAATGTTATATTTGGGTGAAAAGCATTGTATTAAGATAAAAGATCATAAGAAAAAACTAAATAGACTAAGATGTGAATGTATCAATGTTATCTTAGGTCTAGCCCTACTACTCCTTTCTAATCTTCCAGCCCCACTTGTATCAATCCATCTAATGGGTACAGTTTCCATTCATTTATATACTGAGTGTTGTAAAAGGTACTAAATTGTTTGTTTATAAATAATTTTGAATAACTTTAATCAATGTTATATTAGGTCTAGCCATACTTCTTTCTAATCTTCCAGTCCTAATTTTATCTATTCATTTAATGGGAGCACATTTTCCATTCGTTGTTGTAAAGCCTGTTTTTAATTATCTTATATTTTCAATGGATATTTCTGCAATTTAGTGGTGATATCAATTAAATTCAGATAAGCATCATCATGAATTCAAAATTGAAGATGATTTCCACAGGCTAAATTCGAGTGAGTTGAAAATGATTAATTTTAAATTTTAAGTTGAGTCAAACCAAGCCTATTATTTTTTATAAAATATTTTTATAAGACAATACTAGAATCCATACAACATCATCAAATTAATTGCAGCATCATTAAATTTACTTTTAAAACTTCATAGTATTCTCTTATCACATAATACTCTAAAGGTGCTTCTCCATTTTAACCAGCTAGTCCTAAATATAAAAAGTATATGCTCATATATATATTTGTTCTGTTGTATAATAGTTCCAAGAGAAGTACAATGAAGAGTTCTAGAAAAGAAAGGGGTCAATACTGTTATATTCAAGTCATTACGGATATATATGCAGGAGTTGTTCAAACACAAGGTGGTTTGACAAAGTGTTTTTCTATTTCAGGTGGATTACATCAAGGGTCATCCTGAAGCCCTTATATATTTGCTTTAGTCATGGATGTTCTTACTAGACATTTTTGCAATAGGATGTATCCTAGTGTAGGCTTTTTGTTGATGATATTCTTCTTGTTGATAAGACTAGAGAGGGAGTTGAAGGTATAATCGAATTATGGAGGTCAACCTTAGAGTCTAAAGATTTTCGTTTGAGTAGATCTAAAACCGAATACATGGAGTGTAATTTTTAGTAGTAATAGATTGAGTGGGGGGCTTGTGACTTTGAGCAATCAAGTCATTAATAAGTGTACTCATTTTAAATATCTTGGGTCTATTGTTCAGAGTGATGCTGAAATAGATGGAGATATTTTTAGAAGAATTCAAGTTGGATGGTTGAAGTGAAGGAATGCTTCGGGTTTGTTGTGTGATAGAAAAGTACCACTCAAACTTAAGGAAAATTTTATAAGATGGTGGTGAGACCTGCAATGCTTTATGTCACATAATTTTGTTAATTAAAAGAGAAGCATAATATTAAGTTAAGTGTTGTTGAGATGAGGATGCTTAGGTGGATGAGTGAATTTACTCTTAGAGATAGGATACGAAACGAGCATATCCGTGAAAAGGTTGGAGTAGCTCCAGTGATAGATAAGATTAGAGAGAGTTGCCTTAGATGGTTTGGTTATGTAAAACGGCGGTCTTCCGATGACCCTATTAGGAGAGTAGATGTATTAGATTTAGCCTATGTTAAGAAAGATAGAAGTGGACCTAAAAAGACTTGGTTATAAAATATTAGAAATGACATTACTTTATTGGATTTAAATGAGAATTTGACTCTTCACAGAACACAATGAAAAAAAAAAAAGATTCATGTAGCCGACCCCACATAGTGGGATAAAGGCTTGTTGTTGTTGTTTCTGTATAATATATATAAGATACCTACCCTCATAGACATCACTCTATCTTCTAATAATATTTATTGACAATCATTAATATCACAACCACAAATATTAAATATCATATACTTAATTTTTTTATAATAATTTTAAACCTCAATCTTAGCATTTTAAGTGTAGTTCCAAAAATCGAACCAGATCGATTGGTTCGACCAGTTCAACCATAAACTAGTCAAATGACCAGTCCGATCCAACTTAAGAAATGAATTTGCATGAAACAGGGCTAAACCGGCAAGAACCGTCAATTCAACTGAAGAATCATTGTACCGGTCCAAATTTTTTAAAACCAGACGGTTTAAGTATTTTTTGTTTAAATAATTAAACAAATAAATTTAATATTAAAATTAATGAATTAATATAAATATTATATATCAAAACTTTTAAATGAATATTAAATACACATACTTAAAAATTACTAATGAAGAGAATTCAAAATTCTTACATGCTATGGGCTCCGAAAATTTGCGCCTTGGCCTCTCTGTGGCCCATTTCTTCTTCGGGTCATCGATGAGAGTTTTAACGAGTAAGTTCCAAGGCAAATTTTCATAAGGCATATTTGGTTTTGAATAAGACATTACCTAGATATTTCGCCCTCATTTTGCGATAACTTTATGATCTGAGTTCATAATTTCTATAGGCGCAAGCCCCCTATAGTTAATTATCCCTCCCGGTAATGAAAGAGAACTTTCAATTAAGGCTAGCCGCCAAATACATACGTGGTATCCAACGTATAGTAGCAACAGAGTTTTGGTATTTAAAAATTTAATATTTATAATTGGAAATTCACCAATTTTGCACTTAAAGCGGATGGTGAGGGAAATAATTATGAAACTGATCAAGATCTCATGGTTTCGTCATCCCAGGTCATCATAGTCCCTAGTCTACTCAATCATAGTAGGTAATCGACCCAACCTGACAGAAGGATCCTTGTTGGAAGCCCTAGGTTGCTTCATCCAAGGGTACCTTGTAGACCTAGAGTGAATATTTGTCTAAGAGAATAAATTTGAATCCACCTTAGCTGACATAGGCTTTGTGTCGCATCGATTATATTCTATTGATTCATTACTCAAGGATTTAGCGCCGTTGGGGAACATACGGGCTCTAACCATGACCTTATGTTATTTGGCAACAAAACCACCCGATCAGAGGGTCACGATCATAACTGTTTACCTACGATGCCATTTGATGATGAAACCACCATTTAGAGGACACGTACCACATCCTTACTGACAGGAAACGATTTGAGAATGAATATTATTGATATTCTCAACTAGACATCTGCTTTTTATGAGCTGAAATAATTTTCAAACATGTAACCTCGACAAACTATTACAGAGGATTGATGAGTATTTTTACTTCAAGTATTTTGGTGTTTTATTTTAATTTTATATATTATTGAATGTATTTCATGGGAATTTAGAGGCATTTTCAAATATTTGGGTCCCCTATGGTTGAGATTTCTATCAACACGACCATCATCAAGGTTCTTACGGGCAACTTTATTTTATGTGTTTAACCTTGTTGACTTTGTCTACTTACTAACAGAGGATCGAGTTCGTCATTGGTTGTATGCTTTTATTAATAAATCTTTGTTGCAAATCTTGAGGGCCTAATATGAACATATAAAACAAATATTCTGATCGATGCTGTGGTCATACATTTGTTTGACGGTTCAAGCCATGTCGACTCCAATCTATTCACGTAGAAGGATTGGGCTCGAAGTGAGGTTCATTTCTCGACCCGCACAGCATCCTCAGATGTCATGTGTGTGCATACATCACGCTCATTGGGGCCCATACAGGTATTTAATTACATATATTTTCATATATATATTTGCACGCTTACATACACACTTATACTTTCATTTACATGTTAATATCGCACGTATGTACTTGTGTATTTGCATGCATGTATGTATATGTGAGCAACATATTTGCGCATTGTTTAATCATGTTTGCATGATATGCTGATATTCAACATAGCGTCTGGATGCATTAACATAGTGTATAGTGAATTTGCATGACATGCATGTATGTGACATTTTGCTTTTGTACATTTATTCGGATAATACATTTGCATGATAATTCAATGATTGCATGATATATTTGCATATCAGCGCACATGTTGGGTCGCGTATTTGCATAATGTATTTTGTATAGTGTAGTATATACATGCATGATGCATTCTGCATGTTAATGCTATGTGTCGCCACAACGTAGCGCATCTTGCATATTAAGTTACGTGTTTGCATGATGTATCCTGCATATTGCCAATGTATGCATACTATGAACTTATCGGTGTGCATTTTGATGCATGAGGGTGTTGCTTTTGCAACATGCAGCTATCATCAATTACAAAATTTCATTTAAAAGCCTGTAAAAGCCTTATGCCTACTTGTATGGATGTTGTGAATCTGGTGACGTGGCATTGCACTTCATTCATTGTTTGTTGATAGTGTAGTTTAGTTCTTTTAATCATCTGCACGTTATTATTTTCTCTGATATTCAGCTTGCAGGAGTACACTTCTTCTTGCAAGTGAGTTGTACCACGCAACAAGTGAGCTGTACCACGCAAGTGAGCTGATTTATCTAATATGACAGCCTGACACCACAAGTTTACAGCCACAATTTATTAATGGCCCGCAACTTTTACTACAAATCTCTGTTTCTACTTACAGGTGAATTGTAATGTTGAGCTATGGGTTATTTATTACTTTACGTAGGTAGACTGACGTGCACTAACAAATCTTCTGTAGCAGCTCGTAGGCGCTTATATTTGTTGTGGTCTTGCATTTGTCGTGATCATCAATCTTTGCTTGTAAATGACATGTTGCATGTCCATGTTCACAGGGGATCCATTAGACCTAAAGCATATTTTCCATCATCGCTTGCAGGTAGATTAATGTGTTCATTTGCAAACTGATGTTGATCGTTGGGTGAGCTGCATTCATTGCTGATTTTACCACAAACATTCATCAGCAACTAACTATGCTCATTGTATGTTAACCTTCAGTGTTCGTGGGTAACTGTTGCACTTATCTACGAGTTGGTTATCATTAACTGGAGGGGTATCATAATATTCATTACATGTTCCTTGTAGTCACTTGTAGGCGATGTTCGTTGTAACTTCTCTTTTTATCAATATTTGCGGGGAATTCATCATATTCGCCACTTGTCCACTATCGTTACTCACAAATATGTTAACATGTTTGCTTGCACTGTAAATGGTATGAATTGCATTAGAACTACAATCATCTCAAGTAAATTATTACATTTATTGCATATCAGCTTCCTTCACCTGTCAGGATCTTCTGCATTTGTTAGATACTTGCTTGATGTGGCCTATGAGGGTGCCTTTGTAATCATTGCATGTCGGTTGACGTCATTTGCAGGAGTTTGGCGTATTTGTTTATGAGTTGAGGTCGACTGCATGAAAGTTGTTATACTTGTTGCATATATCTCGTTGTCATTTATAAGAAATTTGTTGTATACATCACAAACCTTTTGTTATACTACTAGATGATAGAATTTTCATTGTTGCATTCTCTTATTTGCTTGCATGATTGATGTGATGCTATGCACCAACTACTACCATGCATATGTGGTTTGCAATATTTATTAAAGGATTTTGTGAGTTTTCTTGCAATTAGATCACACATTATCCTTGACTCCTGCTGCTCATTGCTTGCAAGCAAGTGGCATTTATTAATTTGTCCATCATAAGTCCTTTGCTTGTATGTTTAAATTTTTTTATTATTTTGTAAATTACAAGTTTTTATTTTAAATCTCAGATTTGGTTTTCTATGATTTATTTAAGTTTGTTTCCCTACGATCCTGTTGAATTCAAGTCTCATGTATTTGCTTAAGTCCCGTGCATTTTCAATCAAAATTTTGGCAGCGTCTCGATGTCTCCCTCTTTTAGGAGGGAATTGGGGAGCCAGCCTTCCCATCACGCTACGAAAAGTATGGTAGGTGTCGGGTGACACCACGGTCATGGTTCATACATGCATACCTTCATAATAAGGTGTGTCGATGCATCATAGGATCTAGCCTTGGTTATCCCACCCCACCCCCCTCTTTTAGGAAATTTTGATTGATTTGGCACAATTCATAGTGGTTCCACCTTTCATTAAAGGCTTGCTTACCCTTAATTTTGAATTTTTAAATGCTTTGCTATTTTTAGTAACTTTGAATTTAAATTCCCATGCCCATACTATATGTATAAATTTTGTAATTGAATGGATTTGTTATTAATTAAAATGAGAATTGGGGTCTTTCTTTCTTTTGTGTGGATGACTTGGTGGCTTGTCTTGGTTGAATTTCTTGGGTGATGAATTCTTGTTCCCCTCTACATCTTGAAATCCTAATTCCATCACCTCTTAACCATCTCCCTCCCAACCAATCCAAATCATAACCCTCAGAACTCTCGGCCTCTACCTTTTCCATTTACAACCTCAACTCTAAACACCCAAATTGGCTTCTCCCCTTATCTTCAACCCTCAAAACACATTTAGTCAATCCTCATTCCCTCCCTAAACCCCAGATTAACCCATTTGGCCTCTGTCTCTCACACACATAAAACGCTAAATCCATCCTAAAGCTGTTAAACACCACTTTCTCACATAAAAACTAACATCAAACCCCCATTGGCCACACCCAACATTCATAAAACAAAAACCTTGTCCTTGAATTAAACCGCCCCAAATCACTTCACAGTTCACACCCACAACACCACAAAGTCAACCATCAATTTATAATATTTCATATAGATTTATAATTTTTTTTTCAAAATCAATTTGGATTCATGGCGGGGAGGTCTACTATGGAAGCTATACATTTATTGAGAGGTTTGATGGAGAAATATAGAGAGAATAAGGAGGATCTACATATGATATTTATTGATTTAGAGAAAACATATGATAAAGTTTCAAGACAAGTGCTATGGAGTGTTCTAGAAAAGAAAGGGGATAATAATGCTTATAAAGTCATTAAGGATATGCATGCAGGAGTTGTTACTTGTGTTCAAACAAAATCTAGTTTAGCCATGTATTTTTCTATTTCAGTTGGATTACGTCAAGGATCAGCCTTACTCCCATATCCTTTTGCTTTAGCCATGGATGTTCTCACTAGACATTTGCAAGTGGTATTACCCTGGTGTATGCTTTTTGTTGATGATATTCTTCTTGTTGATAAAACTAGAGAGGGAGTTGAAGATAAACTTGAATTATGGAGGTCAACTTTAGAGTTTAAAGGTTTTCGTTTGAGTAGATCTAAAATCGAATATATGGACTATAATTTTAGTAGTAATATATTTAGTGGAGGGATTGTGACTTTAGGCAATCAAGTCATTAATAAGAGTAAATGTTTTAGATATCTTAGATCTATTGTTCAGAGTGATAGTGAAATAGATAGGGATATTATTAGTAGAATTCAGTTTGGATGGTTGAACTAGAGAAATGCATCGGGCTTGTTGTGTGATAGAAAAGTCCCTCTCAAACTTAAGGGAAAATTCTATAAGATTGTGGTGAGACCTACAATACTTTATTGTGCATAATGTTATCCATTAAAAGAGACGCATAATATTAAGTTAAATATTGCAGAGATATGATGCTCAGGGATATGAGTGGCTTTACTCTTACGGACAGGATACAAAATGATAATATATGTGAAAAGCTTGCAGTAGCTCCAATGGAAGATAAAATTAGAGAGAGTCGCCTTAGGTGGATTGGTCATATAAAACAGCAGCTTTCCAATGACCCGGTTAGGAGGGTAGTTGTATTAGATTTGACTTACATTAAGAAATGTTGAGATAGATCTAAAAAGACTTCGTTAAAAAATATTCGAAATGACCTTTCTGTATTAGATTTAAATTATAATTTGACTCTTAACATGGCATGATGGAGAAAAATGATTCATGTAGCCAACCCCACGTAGTGGGACAAATGCTTGATGTAGTTGTTATTTCATAATGGATTGATTTTTTTTTCACTATGAGTTAACTAATATATCTTATCATGAAAAAAAAAAGTATCTTTTAGTCATATATATAGAGTCCAAAAACCCTATATCTAATAAAATCCTCCTGAAAGAAATTAATTTGGAAGATACCATGTACTAGAAGAATTAATAAAGCTAAAGCTACTACCTTTCCATCCATGGTTTGCAATGCCACCTGGCAGTCTTCAGCCGAGGCAAAGTTGACAAATCCAAATCCCCTCGACCGGCCCGAATCTCTCTCATATATAACTTTGGCTCCAACAAGTCCAGAACACGCTGAGAATGCATCCCTGAGTATGTCTGATGTAACTGTCCACCCAAGATTTCCAGCATAAATCTTATAGCTGCTATCTTTGTATCCGATGGACACCGCTCTGGGACCCAGCCCCATCATCTCCCGTTCACCTCCCCTAGGCACCTCCGGAAAATTCACCTTCAAAGTCCGGCCTCCCACTTGCTGTGAAATTTAAACAAACACGTTAGCTTCACTCTAACAATTGACGCATTACATCAAACAGCTTACATGCGTGAAAAAAGACAACCGACTTACAGCACCATCAAACATCCGGATGGCCTCATTGGCTTTGTCGGCGCTGGCCATGGTGATGAACCCGAACCCTCGGCTTCGGTTGGTTACACGGTCGTAGACTATCTGGAAAATAGAATTTTTTGTCGGAAAACATTGGATTTTGGGATATAAGAAATTGGTTGGTACGCACCTCGACTGTTTCGACCGTGCCGGCCTGGCTAAAAATCTCAGAAAGCTCTGAGGAAGTGATGGAGAAGGGAAGGTTACCAACATAGAGCCGTCCAGCATCCCTCGAGCTTGAACGAGGGGTAAGCTCTCGCTTCTGCACGACCTGGGCCTCTTCAGCACCGAGCGGTTCTTCTTCAGCACCGAGCAGTTCTTCTTCTCTGTACGATTCTATGAATGGAGCGGTAGCGGATAAGGAAGGGAAGACGCGGCGGTGAGGTGAGGCGAGGGAGATAATGGGACAGAGGCGAACTAATCGGAGGGAGGTTTGGAAACAGAACCGTTTGAGTTCAGGGTGAGAGGAAGAGAGGAAAAGGGAAAAGCTTTGAGTTTTGGTGGCTGAGATGGCACCGGAAGGTGATATAAGGCCGACTCCGGCGGCGGCGGCCATAGTGGGATGAAAAGAGGAGGAGAAAATCTGGATGGGCTCTGCTCGTTCAAAGGCCTTCCTGAAGAATAAGAACACCGCCTTATCTGATACAAATGGACAAATGGTGCAGGTACATTCGTAAACCTGAGCAGTTTTTTTTTTTTTCAAATTTAATTTGTGTTATGAAAAGAGGAGGAGAAAATCTGGATGGGCTCTGCTCGTTCAAAGGCCTTCCTGAAGAATAATAACACCGCCTTATCTGATACAAATGGTGCAGGCACATTCGTAAACCTGAGCAGTTTTTTTTTTTTTTTTTTCAAATTTAATGTGTGTTAACTGTTAAATATGAATTATTAATTAATTATAATTATAATTATCATCAATAATTTATAATGATAAATATTAAATGATATACTTAAAAGTATATTCAGTTATCAAATAATGTAATTAATTATAGTAATAATTATCAAAATATTTCTCTAAATGTTAATTTAATAAGTATTTAATTTTTAAATATATTAATAATTACATATTTAATTAGTTATTTTTTAAAAAATAATTATTTATGAAATCAGCACTCCAACTAATAATTTTATTAAGCATTTAAATATTATTTAATTATTAATTAACTCATTAAGCACATAAATATTCTACTAGCAATTAATTATTTAATTATTATTTACATTGTTAATTATATAATTAGTTAGTCATTTCAATTTCTAAACTTTAAAATAATTATATTAACTATTTATTATATATTAGTTTTTTTTAGTAATAATAGATCTAGTGAGAGGATTGTCACTTTAGGTGATGTAGTAAACATTTTTTATATATTGAGTATATTATTCAGAATGATAGTGAAATAGATGGATATATTATTAATAGAATTCAAGTTGGTTAGTTAAATGGAGAATGCATTTGTGTTTTTGTGTGATAGATAACAGTCTCTTTCAAACTTAAGAAAAATCTATAATAACTATTAGCGGTTAGGACCTGCCAATCTTATATGGGTCTTGCAGGAATTTGGCCATTAAAAGAAAAGGCATAGTATTAAATTAAGCTGCTTGCAGAGCATGGGTAATGCTACAATGGATGAGCGACTTACTATAAAGACAGGATCTAAAGTGCATATATATGAATAAGTTGGAGTAGGCGGTGTCAATTCGGGTCAACTGGTCTGGTTCGATAGTCGACCCGAAACTGACCCCGAATCATCTATTCAGGTCAACCCGAACCCGACCCATTTTTAAAAACGGATCAGGTTTCTTACCCGAACCCGACCCGACACGAATGACCTGAGGTTGGCCTAAAATTTGCTAGTTTTTGGTGTAAAAAATAGGGCCGATTTCGGTAAAAAACGGGTCATGATCTCGGACTTTCAGGTCAAATACTAAGTTTTGTGTCAATTTATGTAAAACCCCCTCTCAAAGCTGATTTTTTTAGTGCAGTTAGTCCGTACGAACTTTAGGTTTTAGTACGAGACAACTGAAGAAAAATTGTGAAGAATCTGTTCATTTCGTCTGTACGAACTGGAAGGCGTCGGGACCGATCCGTTCTGGACGAAATTTGTCCAGAAGAGCAAAGTCGTCCGGGACGCTATTTAAGTCGTCTGGACGAAATTCTGCTAGAGGCAAATCGGTCCCGGGACGATTTGGAGTCAGTTCGGGACATCAGTAGTTAATAAATATCCGATAGAGATAATTTGGATTCGATTTGAAGAGAGAGAAACGAGAAGGATAATGAAAGGAAAAGCTTCGTTTCGGGGCCGCGGAGCGATTTCGCCGGTTCATCGTTTTTAGAAGATGTTCGTCTTGCAGTAAGGGACTCCGGATCCTATTTCCGTTTTCGAAGATTTCGAGTTTTTGGATATTTCTGCTTGCTCAGATTTGTGTTTCCGTTTATCGAAAAACACGCATAATTTTGGTATTGACGGAAATTTCAAATGGAATCCTTCTATCTACGTTTGAATATCTGGGATGTTACAATTTCGGTCAATTCGATGTCATTTCAGGTTGCTGGGGTCAACCCGAAATAAGACCATGTTTTTAAAACGAAATGAAAAAATATTAATCTATTTGAACACGAACCCGGCCTGTTTCGACTCTGGGTTGACCCTAACCCGGATTTTTTTAGGCGGGTTCTGATTCGAGTTTCAGGTCGTGTCAAAAATTGACACCCCTGGTTGTGAGTAGCTCCAATGGAAGATAAGATTAGAGAGAGTTGTCTTAGATGGTTTGGTCACATAAAACGACAGCTTCCAATAACACAGTTATGGAAAGTAGATGTATTAGCTAATTTTGCTTATGTTAAGAAAAAGATGTAGGACCTAAAATGACTTGGTTAAAAAATATTAGAAATACTTTTTTTTATTAGAATTTAAATAGAATTGACTTCTTAACAAAAACATAATGGAGAAAAAAAGATTCATGTAGCAGACCCACATAGTGGGATAAAGGCTTTGAAAGTGGGACAATATTTAAGCTAATTGATTATTTAATAAGCTACTAATTATACTATTAATTATTTGATTAATTAATTAATTTTTTAATATTTTAAATTATATTAATTAATTAAAAATTTATATTAATTATTTTAAATTAAATTAATTGGATGGAGGCCATAGGATTTGCTTTTCATCTCCATTTCTTGTTGTTAGTGTGTCCATTTTCCTCGTCGCCATTTCTTCATCGAAGCTTCATTCTCATTCGCTTTTGCTTGAAGCAATGCGTTGAAAGAGTCGCTAAAGACACTTCTTGACCTCCTTTGACGACATTAGATTAGAAGACACATTGGGGGCTCACTTGCTGCGAAGGTAATCATCTTCACCTCTTTCTTTAAGGACTGGGCCTCACTCGATTGTCGTGAGAGAACTTTAAACAATTGTTCTTATAATATAGTATGATTAAATTATTAGACCTATAGTTTAATTATATTATATTCATGACTATCTAATATTTTAATTATAATTAACATTTATATAAATGAGATTCTTATAAACATTATATCAATTTATATAATAATAATAAAATTTAATAGAATATATAAATTTATTATTAATTCTTATAAATATATTATAAAATTATATAATTTATAAATTTATAATATAAATTAAAAAACTTTATATTTCAACCAACTCACATTTGCAACCCAACCGGCCTATACTAACATTCAACAAAACATATTTCATAAGATAACATGCATATATTATAGTTTAATTAATCTCAATATTTAATAAAAAAGTTAAAAATTTTAAAAGAATTGAATAAAATAAAACAATTCATTTTATACTTACAAACAAAAAAATTGTAGAACCGAATGCTTTATTTAAATTATTCCAACTGATCCAGTTTACTGGTTAGCTTAGCCTGATTTAGACCTATTCGATGTGAAGTCAATTTTTAAACTGGATCATATAATTCAATTGCCCAGTTTTCATGATTGAACCGATCAATCAGTTTTTAAAACATTGCAAAATATATAACATAAAAATAATCTTTTGAAATAATTTTTTTATTATTTTAATTTCAAATTACAAACCACATTACCTTTTCATATATTTAAAAAAATTATATTAAACTTTTACTTTTTCCAACAACTTTAAACAATTGCTCTTTATAACACTTTTACAATACAAAACAGTAATAAAGCTCCCTAAAAGAAGCCTAAAATTCCTTTTATCCACCCCAACAAAACGTCAAATTATTGCGTCCGGTGTCCGAACATCAATCCGGTGTCGCCACATCACCCAAATACATCGGGGATGTGGCGTCACCGGATTGGATGTCCGAACATCAAGTGACGGACACAATAATTCGCCCAACAAGACACGGTGATATATCCCATCACAGGCAACTAGAAAAAAGAAAACTTGTAACTATCAAGCAAAATAAGAAACACGAAGAGTTGGGCAATATACCTCCAGCCACCACATGACAGTGGCCAAACCAAAAATGACAGGCAAATAACTAAAACACAGTAGAACTATAGACTACTACTACTAAGGGTTACAAAGCGGGGTAAGTTAACATCTATAATATAACAATAGTAAAAATGGTGTCAGGGCTTCCCAAGGTGGCCACCTCTTCACTAATCTCTATTGCTGAGCACATTGCACTCTCTGAGCGCCACCGTGCATTTCCTCATCTTCCTCGTAGGCCTCCTGAGCTTGTTGAGCTTGCTTCCTCTTCATCTCCTCGTCAATGTTCACGTCGTACAAGGTCGTCTCTTCGCACTCATCAAGCTCCATGTCGGTCAGCTGCGACGGGATCCCCAAGGGAAGGATGCCCTCAAGAGCTTTGCACTGCTCTGCTGTCAATGAATCTGGGAGATCTACATTGAAGTGGATGTAGAGTTTGCCTCGCAAGAATGACTTCTGGTACATTGGCATTCCCTCATCATTGATCGCCTTGAATTGATCTGCAGAAGCCATAAGCCATAAATAAATGCGCACAAGTAAGCAGAAAAGAGGTAGATGCCTTTAAATCTTAGGCCTTCTCCAAACGAACTCCAGACGCATGAATGGCATCACGAGCCGAACGGCAAAACTTCCGGTATTTGGTTGCGTGTGAATAGTGCAACGTTAATATTGGCGTTGCACTGTTCACCTGCATTATTTTTCTGTCTCTACCGGATTTGCCGAAGACACGCGCGAAGGAGAAAGACGGTTGGAGATAAATCACACAATTTTTTTGTTACACTACATTTTGGAGTAAAAAATGTGATTTTCGGTTGGAGATGCCCTTACCAGGCTTCACAACTTCTCCGGGATTTGATTTAATAAGCAGTTGCCGACCGTCAAGATGGGTTAACACGAACTGGAAGCCACAAAGGGCTTCGGTTAGGGAGAGAGTGTGCTCAACAAAGAGATCATCGCCCTTTCTTTTGAACTTGGAGTGGTCTTTTTGTTGTAGGACAAAGACGATGTCGCCAGTGACACAATCAGGCTACACATTGTCAAGCGAAACAATCAAAAGCTGCAATCAATCTCAAAGAAAGATTCAGGCTTCGTTTGATACGTTGTTCTTATTGCTTCATAAAGCAACTTTTTAGTACAAAAATTAAAATTTTTATACTAGAAAGCTACTTTAAGAAGCAGAAAGAAAGCCTTCCAAACGAGAGGGGAATGGGAGAAAGAGCGAAACATACAGCTTCATCAGCCTCTCCGGCGAAGGTGATCTTTTGCCCATTTTGCATGCCCTTCTCAACAAGAACGTCAAGAACCTTCTTATCCTGGACGACTTTCTCGCCATTGCATTGTGGGCAGCGGTCTTTCTCACCGATGGTCTCGCCAGTGCCTTTGCACTCGTTGCAGGGGTGCTGCATTTGTTGAATCATAGATGGCCCGAGATGGCGAATAGAGACCTTCATGCCTGAACCCTGACAGCCAGGGCATCTCATTGACGCACCAGATTTAGATCCCTTCCTGCAAAACACGTTAAATGCTTATTTATGCTAAGAACCAGCTCAAAATTGCCGGATAAAATTCAAAATGAAGTAAATTCAATTCTCACCCTTTGCATTTGGAACAAAGTACTTTCCGAGAAAGAGAGAGCTTCTTGGAGGTTCCATTGTACAATTCTTCCAGGGAGACTTTCATTGGGTGAATAACATCCTCTCCTCTCCTTTGCCTGCGTCCACGGCTGATCCCACCACCTATTCTCCATAAAAAAACAGAAAAAAATTTGCGTTCAACGCAAGACTCCATTGTGACGAAATATACATAAATGGTAACCATATATAAATCTAAATTTACCTCCAAATGGACTTCCACCAAAGAAAGACTGGAAAATATCAAACGGATCATTGGCAGCTCCTCCCATTCCTTCCTTGAGAGCATCTTCACCATACTGATCATATATATCCCTCTTCTCAGGATCACTCAGGACCTCATAAGCTTGGGCCAACTCTTTAAACTGAAAATAAAAAAAAAAAATAGAATAAAATGAGAAAAAAATTGAATAAATTCACATTTAAAGTTGGAGTTTTTCTTGTTTCTCGTATGCATAGCTTCTGTAGCCCAATTTACATCCACATAAGATTTGGAACATAACATTTTTTTCGTGTGAATTTATTTGAGAATGAAGCCTACTAATAAAAAAATCTATCAGACATTCATATAGCAACACTACAGTAAGAATCTTTATCTATTTGACCTCCATTCACCCATATCAGTGGCAATTAATTAGAACCACCCCGCAAAATTTATAAAGAAAGCATCGCAGCATAGAAAGTAAGCATAGAGCCTATCCTGTATACTCCTTATAATTCAAATCAACAATAATGATCTGATAGGCAAGAGAAGATCCAATTTAATGTGGCAAAATAATCAATGCAAGGTAAACAATCAGCTCTTCAGCAGAAATAAACGTAACAGCAATCAAATTCTAACCAGAAAAATCATTGAATTCAACATAACAAAAAACTCCATTTCCCGAGAAAGGAAAAATGCTGCAACAAATGTCAAATTCACAAAGGCAACATTGAATATCATTAAATTGAACATTAATATTTTCATTTTGAAAGAAAGAGTGTTAATTGATTGTGCTCACTCATTAAGATATATTTGGTGAGATAATTAGAAGAAGACGGCTTACGGTCTCGGTTAACGTTTCGACAAAGAATTAAGATCTCAATCAACATTTATATAAGTTTTCTTCATTTCATTACATATTTTAAATTTATTATTTATTAAGAAAATTAAAATGTAAAAAGTCTCAATTTAATTTTATAAAATCATGATTTTCATTTCCGCTTTTATATATGGATATAAATATCCAATAGAAACAAGTTTAAAAATCTTTAATAACTAAGCTACCTAGCACCCCCAAAAGCTTAAAAAACGCTGCATCATTCAGGTCCTCTGCCGAGATTCTTAGAACTAAAGAAAAAGATCTTTCTCATTATATATTAGATTAGATTGAAAGTATAGCAATAAAAGCAGCCCAACTCACATTGTTTCCCTAAGGGCCGAATCCTTCCATCGAGCCTCCAACCAAATAAAATTCACCCTCCAATTCGATCATTAAACCTACCCATCCAACTACCTTCACCTCCTAAATATCCTCCATCAATCAACATAACCCTACCATTATCACATCTGAAACTGTATAAACATCAAATCCCCTACCGATTCCAAGGAAAAAAAAAATCTCATTCTCCTCGCGATCTATTTCCAATAAATTCAGGAAGAGAAATCCAATAACATCAAGGAAAAACGCAATATTGAAGAACAACAAAACATCCAAGCCAGAACATGCACCTACACAGACAAAAATCAGACGTAGCCCATAACTATTTACCTTCTCCGGATCGCCTCCCTTATCAGGATGGTCCTTGATGGCCGCCCTGCGATAAGCCTTTTTCAGGTCCTCCTGCGAGGCGTTCTTCGACACGCCGAGAATCTCATAGTACCTCGTGTTATCGCTTTTCTTCGGCCCCCGTCCAAACATTCTCCTTCTCTCCTCCTCTCCTCCTCTCCTCAGATCGATTTCGAACAGAAGAAAACCCTAATTTCCCCTTCCCAACCACGACCGCCTAAGATTCGATCGAATCTGCAATCATATATCAGAGAATCACACATCCCGTTATGCATAAATATGAATATATAATTATATATAGAGAGAGAACCCACCGTCCACGAATCGTGGAAGAGTCTAGAATCTCTCCAATCCTCTCGTGGCGCAGGGATTTTCGGCCGTTGGATGCTTGTTGACCAGATCAGCAATTGTAGTTGAGGAAACGAAATGTAGCTTCACATCCATTAGATTTGCTTTGCGATCTGCGCTATTTGCAGTTGCAAATGTGATCTCAACGGTGCCCAAATCTCAAAGTAACAAATAAGATCTATTGCTGGAAATTCTATTTACGTTACGATAGTTTACCAAACCATAACAGAATCTATAATGAGAAAAACTAACAATAAATGTGTGAGAGAATTTAAAATCACGAGTTTTTTAATTTGCTGTAGAGTGATTGCAATATAAAATAAATATAATATAAAATTAATATTTAATGCTGTTTGATTATATGTAGAATAAATATTAATTTGGATTTCATATTATAATTAATAAATTAAAAAAAATCTATTTAAAAAATAAATTGCATAGATATTATATATGTTATGAGTTTATAGCCTTAGACACCTCTCAACTCTTTTCTATAGTTCCACATGACTTGAAAATTTTTTGTTGCTATTGTTGATATAGATTTTCGAGTTTCCTAGTGTTAAAAAATCACATAGTGGTGGGGTTCGGGTAAAATAAATATAATATTTATTATAATTCATTTATTTATTGAATAAAATTTTTTAATCGATTTGATCGGACTGGACTTCTAACCGGTTCGCAGTCGAACCCCGGTCCAGTCTGATCTGATTTCTAAAACCTTAAAGAAAACACTCCTCGGGCCATCCGAAACTATCAATCCTCACAAGCAAGAACTTCGGGATATCCATCACGATGAAGTAGAATCGAATGATTTGGAAGATTCGAATGAGTTGGCGAGGTCGGGATGTAACTCCCATTTGTGTGATAAGGATATTCATCACCTCCATTCCAACAAGATAGATGAGGATAGAATAATAGATGCAATCGAAATGGACATTTTGATTGAAGTCGAGAAAAGGACCGAACCTTTAGCGGCTATTGGCCTTCATAGCATGCAAATCAATCACCTGGACACATGGAATGTCGTCATCGAAGGGGTGAAGTCGAACAACAAGGAGACGCTGAAGAAGCAACCGAGCAAAACTCTACCTCACGCAACAGGAAGGGAACATTGTCAAAGGGGTGCAGTTATTATTGTCGAAGGAGTCGAATTTCTCTCACCCGTGTCGCGTGTGTTCCTTTTTGCTCGACTTTGAGGGATTTTACTTTAACCGCAAAATGAACAACAGTAGGGAGTTTGGAATACAAACTCATTTCGTTTCACTTTGCTCTGTGTCAAGCCAAACAACAAAAAAATTAAAATACAGGTATTTACTTTACTTTACATTCAATTTACTAACAACCAAAAAACCCCTGAGTAACTTGGATAATCTACAAGGAGATAATGCATGCAACATGAACAACAAATAACATTAAAAAAATAATAATAAAGTATCAATGTGTACATGAAACCTGTCAAAATTCTTAGATAATATTATAAGTGTGTATATCGAACTATCATTAATGCAGTTTCTTTTAAGTAGATTCATATACAATCATATTATGTATCATCATCATTGATACATCATCACAAAATTATCTTGATTGGGCACGAATCTCGAGGCAAAATCAGTTCGAAAACTTCAAAAATTAAATTCGAGAGCATATGAACTCCGATTTTAGCGAGCTTATAGTCAAACTGAGCGTCTCGGAAATACGAATCCAACGACACCAAATTCGACCCAATCCGAGCCCAAATGAGTCCGAATCAAGGGCTCAAAGCGCGGTTGAAAGGTTCAAACCGCAATTTGAGTTACCAAACGGTCTCCGATTTTGACGAGCTTATACTCGAATCGAACGGCTCAACGAGAGGAATCCAACAAGCCCAAGATCGCCGAATTCTGACATCATTAAGGCCTTCAAATGCCCAACGAACGGTGCATGATCAAAGGATTCGATATCGGCCGTACATTCAAAACACTCCCAATTCGCCCCTGATCTCACGCCTATTTACGAGCTATGTCACTCTAGAAAAATCATAAATAGAGCCCTCATTCTACACCAAGGGGACTCAAGTGAAGAGAGAGAAGAAGAAGAGAAGAAGAAGAAGAAGGAAGAAGCTCCTCCTCGACCACCGCCGGAGCTCTTCCTGCCACTTGAAGACGCCGGAACTCTGCTGAATTTTCGGGAAACGCCGGGAATTTGCAGAACTTTGTAACTTTGTGAGAAGTTGATTGTAAACTGATCGTCTTGATTTGTAAGACGGATCAACCTTTGTACTCCATACAAACACTAGTGAAACTTTACAACTGGGCGAGGCCCCGTGGTTTATGACATGTATAAATTGCATTAATGACATACATAATGTAACAATCAAATTCTTAATTATCGAGATATTGTCCGCTTTGACCTAAGAGCCTAACGGTTTTGTCATGTTGGTGTAACTTCCCAGTAGGCCATCCATCCCAGAATTACTCTGAGATGCGGACTTTCTTATGAAAATTTCAACCATTACACCAAAAGACCTCAATATTTAAGAGTTAACTTTCTTTTACTATAGGGATTACAAACATACGCAACCCCTTATAATCAATTTTGTAAATTACTTTGCGTCCGAAAGGTAAGCATTAACCCAAATAAATCCATTAATTTCCTATAAAGTCGTCACTTTATCTGCTAAGGCAGCCATTGTCAAATAGAAGAGATGAATTGTATAAAGAGAATAAGGAGGCATGTTAGGTCGATTTAGTTCACAAAAGCCGATTAAGGTTACTACAGATGGATCATTAAAGAAGATTTTATTGAATAGTAATTTAGAAAAAAAAAATCTTATAAACAATAATACTAAATAGCATTTCCAAAAAAATTCACAAAATTTTCTTATTTTTTATTTTTTTATTTTTTATTTCACAATTGACTCTAGAGGGTATGAGAAATTTGGCATTCATTTGAATTGCAATGAGGGAAGCAAAAACCTATACAATAACAACAACATCATCAAGCCTATATCCCACTATGTGAGGTCAGCTACATGAATATTTTTTCTCTATTTTTTTTTATTAGTCATTTTTAAGATTTTATCACAAAGCTTTTTAGGTCTATCTCTACCTTTCTTAATATAAGTCAAATCTAATATATTTACTTTCCTAATAGGGTCAATGGAAGATCGTCGTTTTATGTGACCTAACCATCTAAGGCGATTCTCTCTAATCTTATCTTCCACTGAAGCTACTCCAACAATTTCACATATATGCTCGTTATGTATCATGTCTCTCAGAGTAAAGCAACTCATCCACTTGAGCATCTTTATATTTGCAACACTTAACTTAATATTATGTCTCTTAAAAAATATTAAATGATTCATGTCATGAGTATTTGATAAGTTTAATGCTTGTTATCAACTACCTAACACAACTCTCCATTTTTCTCATCCTATATAGTAAATAAATTTATTTATTATTATGATTTCTTTCATTTTAAACTTCATTTGGGGCGGCTTTCTTAATGCTGTCTAAAACAGCTTTTTAGTATAAAAAAATTCTATTTCAAAAGATTTTTGTACTAATAATATGCTTTACAACACAGTAAGAAAATCATTCCAAACAATGCCTTAGTGAAATGTTAAACTCACATTAAAACATAAACCAAACCAAATCAAATAATTAATTTATGTTGGTATGATTCACATTTTCAAATTAATTAATTTGCTCACACCCTAACCCGAAACTCTTCTAAATCTTCATTATATACTAATCTCATATTTTATATAAAAGAAATTTTAAGTTTTTCTCTCACTTAATGATTATTTTTGAAACTAACATCTCTTTTATATATATAATATATATTCTTCGAATTTATTTGGGGAGCTAAAATATTCGCATGAGGAGATATACATTCCCTTCCATTCATTGTGGAATTACCATTTTTATCCACATTGAGCCTTGCTTAATTTTCTAACTTCATTAGCCTATGCTCAATGCCATTACATATAAAATTAACCTATGCATAATACAAATAATCATTCGACGAAACTAAAAAGAATGCGGAAGCAGGAACTGATTAATATAAATTAAATTTATATAAATTTCAACAAAGATCCAAATCTAATTCTGAATTCAAATTCAAACCGGCAACCTAATCTTAAATTAGTGATGTGATCTATCAAAACTCCGCTTTGACTACCCCTGTATCCACATCAGTTCACATGGGCAAATTTTTTTTTTTTTTTTTTTATTTTTTTGAGATATTAGATCAATTAAAGCAACTCTCAATACACATCAATATCAAACTTCAATTTAAGAACCGTCTTAGATACAAATTAAAACTCCCAACTAACAGATTAAGATGAAATATGCCTATTAAAAGTTCATTTTAATTCTATTTTCTTTATTCGCCTTGTTCTAATCACGCGTACAATTACGCTGCCATCAATACTAATTTAGAATATATGCCATTTTTTCGTACAGCCCGCGTGAAAGCGTTCAAAGGCCAATTCATACGGCGATCCGCACTGCTGCACAACTAAACGCGCTTCACAATCAAAAGGTCCAGTCCGAACCTATCTAAGCTTTAATATTTGAATTTTCCAAAAAAAAAAAAAGCTTTAGGATTTGTTAATATATAAAATTATAAACATTGCAAAAAAATTCTAACAATTAAAAAACAAGCGACAAGTGGAAGGTTAGCTTAAATGAATAATGACCGTTGCGCCGTCGCCTCTTCCAATTATTTAAAATTCAAAAATTTCCCGACTTTATAGCCGTTAGCACTACAGACCAATCAAAGCCAGGAAAAGAACAAAAGAAGGGTGAGGCCGGGAAAGAAAGCCCAGCTGCCCAGCGTCTCCTCGGCTACATCAATCAATACCATTTCCATCCCGGATCTGTCATCTAAAACGAATCAATATCTCCTTCCTCTAATCCCTAGCTGGTAGAGAAAAAAAAAACCTTGGAGATGAAGACAATGAAGGGAAGAATGTGGAATAAGCTCAGATCAATCCCCCAAATGCAGCTGAAACAAGGCCGCATTCTCCAGCTCAAAGCCTCTGATGGCTTCTTCAATTCCCCTCCGCCGCCGAGCTCCCAGCTCCTCGATTGCAGGGAAGATCAGCCTCGGATCATTGAAGCAGCCAAGCTGATGCAAGATTTTGATGAGGAAGAGGAAGATAAAGAGAACGCCAAACCTGCATCAACAACAAAAAGGAACCCAAATCCATGCAGGAAGCAGAGTAATGAGGAGCACAGTCACAAATTCCACCCTTATCGCCGCCCCGATTTCAATTCTCCAACCTTATTTGACCCCAACCTCCTCGCAGCCTTCGATCAGGCGGTGAAGGACTATTTGAGAGTCTATGAACAATCGAAGCAATTCGAAGAAAAGGAGGTGAAAGAAGAGATAAAACCTCCCATAAAGATCCCCAAAATCAATGACCTGTTGAAGGTATTCGATGAAAAGAACCCACCTGGGGGCACCGGAACTGTGATCTTCTACTCGACATCTCTACGAGGGGTGAGAAAGACATTCGAGGGCTGCAGTGCCATCAGGTACCTATTGGAGAGCTCCAAGGTGCTGTTCTATGAAAGGGATGTGTCAATGCACCAAGAGTTCAGGGAAGAGTTGAAGAGATTGCTAGGTTTCGGGGCAATCCCGCCGAGGTTATTTATTGATGGAAGATACAGGAGGTGCTGAGGAAGTGCTGGGGCTGCATGAGCAAGGGAAACTGATGCCAGTCCTCCAGGAGATGCCGAGAGACCAGAGCGGTGGAGTGCCGTGTTGGAGGTGCGGCGGAGCCAAGTTTTTGGTGTGCGAGCGCTGTGACGGCAGTCGAAAAATGTACGATAAGGTAGGAGATGTTTGTGGGAATTGCAGTTTGTGTAATGAAAATGGTTTAGTTGTTTGTTCCCTTTGTTGTTTCTAAGATCATGAGATTTGTGTCAGATTGGGTTGGGGGGTTGTTATTCAATTTGTTATTTGTTAAAGCACAAATAGATGTGGAGATAATTTATAAAACTGAATTTGGAGACAATTTCTCTTTTCTCAATTGTATGAGCTGCTGCTACTTCTGCACAGTATCATTGTCAAATAGAGTTGCAACCAGTGTAAGCTTAAGAGCAAGTGCAATACTAATAATAATACAATATTCTAAGCTAAACTTCATAGTGATTTACACACATTGTTAGGGACGGCTACAAACTTGAAGATTTGATGAGTTTTTGTTACTTACAGATATCAGTAACGGATAACTGAATGTAAATGAAGGCAGGTGAGAAACATGATACAGGATAACACTAAATATTAACCTATTCTTCTAATACACATTGAATTCCATGTCTACAAATAAAAGTTTACAGATGAAACTGTAGCATCTAAGCATAAACACGATTATTTTGGTTTTACGAATTGGAAGGAAAAGATTCGAACTGCGTCTTACCATCATCATTGTTATGGAGGACGTTGTCCTCTGAGGCAGCATTCACTTCAACTTTTTTTCCGCCATTCTCCGACAAGATTTCTGCGCCTTTCTTGAAAACTGAAACTTCATCCTTCTCTGCAGCAGAAACTTTTTCAGAATCAAAATCTGGTGGCGAAACTTCAATAACATTCAGATTTTCCTTGACTTCTTTCCCTGGCTCCAATTGTTCATCCTTTCCACCACTCTCTGAAACTCCATCCTTTTCAGGAGCAGAAACTTTATCATCCCTTTCAATTAAAGCAGCTTTTTCAGAATCAGAAGCTGCTGTAGAAGCAACATTATCATTTGGATTTTCCTGAACTTCTTTCCCTAGCTCAAGTTTTTCCTTGGGGGCGACATTTACCTGTTTATTCTTCTCTTCACCATTTTCAGACAAGATTTCTGCATCTTTCTTGAAGACTGCAGTTTCATCCTTTTTAGAATAAGAAACCTCATCACCCTTAACAGCCTTATCAGAATTAGAAGCTGGTGGAGGAACATCAGTATCATTCTGATTTTCCTTAGCTTCACTCCCTGGTTCAAGTTCTGTTCCTTTTCCCTCAGACTGCTCCACATCCTGCTCTACAGTTTCCTTCGTATTGTCAGCCGACTCTTGCTCAGCTAAAGAATGAATTCCTTCACCGGAAGCTGCTTCTTTGGATTTATTATGCTCGGTGGCTTCAGTCCCCTCCATATCAACATCTTTGGGGCCGTCTCCTTCTGCAGCAGAAGCTTCTCCCTCGGCTTTGCGTCCATCATCTTCAGTGCTTTTCTTTCTTTTGGTCCCCTTTAGCGAGCCTGATCCTTCTCCCTCTACTTTGTGTCCATCATCTTCGATATTTTTCTTTCTTTTTGTACTCTTTCGCGAGCCAGAGCTGCTAGCCCTCTTTGGCTTTTCTGCTTCTGGTGTCTTCACCTTTTCACTAATTCTTGCCGACCGTCTGGGAGTATCACCTGTAAGAAGCCCATCAATGCAAGCAAATTAAGATTTCCTAACCTGATCGACCTAAAAAAATCATGTTCCAAATGCTTTTGTAGGTACATCCAGCGTCACTTGAAAACATGACGTGAACAAGGAAGGGGAGTGAGATTACCAGTTCCCCAATCAAATTCTGAAGAAGGCGGGCCTCCTGGATGCGACCTCAAATATTGATCCAGCTGTCGCCTATTCTTGATTTCTTCACCTGTTGGTGATATGAAGACTATCTCATTTCTTTTAGGAGTGCCACCTTGCTTTGGAGTAAACTGCATAAAAAACAAAATATTTTTTTAAAAAATAATAAATATGTAACACATGAGCACCTGATAAAATATTCTGAATCAATTTAGTAACAATAGTGTTCATTTCCTTTTAACTGTTGCATTAGACTGGCGTAGCAAGTGAGAGCTGCAGAATCTCATATAAAGGCATTTTGGAAGAGCAGCATCAACATATCAGTAAGCTTAAACAATTGTGGGTTGCCTATATCAATAAGGCATTCTCCATTTGTATTCGCCAATTACATCATAAGGCATTAAACCTATCTTGCACGATTAATAATTTATTAAATAAAATCTATATTGCACAAATTTTTCATAAATAATGTCGAGCTAGGCAACCTTTGATCTATGTCCCTTCTTGATCTAATCCTTCAAGATTTCAATTTTATATAGCAGTCTTGTTGGTGAATATTATAATCTTTGTTGTGCATTCTAGTGAGCAAACTTAAACAAATCCAACAAAACAAAAAGAATCTTAACAACTTCAAAAATGTTTTGAGACTATCAAACCTTGGATAGGGAACCTTCATGATTATCCATGAGCTTGAGGCATTCAACACACAAGCCCCACTCCATTTTTGTCTCTCCTCTCTCCATTATATTTTGCTATCCTTAGCACTTTGATTTCCTTTCCCAATTCCTCCTACAAATGTTTACATTCTTAATGTATCATCCTCATTAGAATTGGCCTCTTCTAGTCATTTCAAGGTAGCTTAATAAATCTTCACTCTTTATTTGCCCATATTCAGTGTTGTATGCGGTGTTAAAATATATTCAATGTAATATTTTTTAAAAACTTCATCGATGACTTTTACTCTGCCCTTCTTCCTTAATAATCCTTCAACACAAATTTTATCTAACAATATTATAGATATTTTATTATTATTATTATTTTTTATATATGTGCAAGAGACCTGAGTCTATTTTTCACTATCTTATCTTCAATTGATGCTAAACCGTCCATCTAGCTGATGTAATCAATTTAAAATCCATTTCTAGTCTTGCCACGCATCCATCTTAAAACTTGCATTTCTAACACCCCTAATAATGATATTATAATCTATCACCTACTCATGCCTCATTCAGATTCTGCCTACTTCTCTGTTCCTATTCTCCTTTACCCTCGTCATTACTTGATCTGCTTGACCATGCAAAGCCCTATTCCATCATCACCATTTTTTGCCCGAATTCCAGCCATTCTCTACATACCCTTCTCACCAAACCCATAACTAAAAAACAGAAGAAACCAAAGTCAGCCCCACAAGCACACCCACGTAGAACATAAACCAGCCCAACCAAAAAGAACAATAATAACACTAATGAAACATGAAAGAATCCTGCCACGTAAAACATAAATCAGCCAAACTAAAAATAATAATAACGAAACATGATAAAAGCTTTAGGACAGATTACTATGTTCAAGTATTTATGGAAATATTGAGACTCGGCATGCTTTTAGAGGTGCGATTCCATTACTGCCAGCAGATCATCCCAGTTTGATGAGCATATAATCTTAATGGTCAAAAGTTTTTTTTGTGAATAGAAACCATCTTATTACAGCTGATAAAAAATGGTCTAAGACTAACACTGGAAGATTTATAACAAGGGCCACATGTTCCAGGCAAATCACTGCAGGAAGTTATCGAGAAGAATTAAGGGGTTTGTTAAGAATTCATCATTGTCATTAGCCCTGCTCAAATAGTTTCAGTCAGCTTAGTAATCACTCTCCAGTCGTTCTTGTTGATTGTTATTAACATAGTTAATCACATTTTACACATACTTTTTCACAACTTCTAGTCTTTTTACCTTTCGCCTACCTCTATCTCTTACTGATCATTTCAAAATGATTATATCCATCCATTTTATTGGTACAACTTATGCCTTCATTAAACATGCCTAACCCCTAATCACACATTGGCCCAAGCATACAAATATAGACATTATCAAGCAATACTATTAAATGTTTGGCCACTAGCATGAGTTCAAAAGATGTTGGACATCTTACGGCTAGGGTTTGCTAATGCAAACCTATGATTAGATGAACAAAAAAATAAAGAAAAATTATAATTCGCACATTCCCATTTTTTAATCTAAGCGAAGAATGATTTCTTTTGATGATTACTAAAAAAACAAACTTCATTCATTTCAAAGGATAGGGGATTCAGAGCACGACCAGGTGGGAAATTTCAAGTTGCTGATTGAGGCCAAAGTTCAAGAGAAGCGAACTAAAGGATTGTGTTTCCGTTGTGATGAGAAATTTGCGTCGGGCCACCCCTACAAGGACCATTCACTGCATGTACTTACAGTCTGTGATGAGGAGGAGACTCTAGAGGAGGAGGTGGTTGAGGATAAGGAGCATTTGCACCTAGATGTGGTGGAGGTCTTCCTAAACTCAGTGGTGAGGTTTACCTCAAATCACACCATGAAGGTGAGGGGACATATAGGAAGAGAATCAATGATAGTTCTGGTGGACAACGGGGCAACCCACAACTTCATCTCCAACCAGATGATGGACCGTTTGGGGCTGAAGCCAATCAACACAAGGTATTTTTGGGTTATAATAGGAACGGGGAAGATGGAGAAGAGTAGAGACATTTGTCGGGGGTTGATGGTGACACTGCAGGAGATCCAAGTGGAGTATTTTCTTCTGTTGGAGTTAGGTAGCACATATGTATTTTTGAGCATGAAGTGGTTACAGACATTGGGTGAAATCAAGGTGGACTGGAAAGCATTGGCCATGAAATTCATGGTGAGAGGGAGGATGGTGATAATCAAGGGGGATCCTAATCTATCCAAAACCAAGATTTCTCTCAAAATTATGGTGAGGACGATCTAGGGAGCAGGGACGGGATTCGTGGTGGAGCTCAAGAGCCTCGAGGGAGGAGGAAGTATGGGGAAAGAGGAGGAGGTTCCAAAGATAGTTCGGCCACTCCTAAAAAAAATTCAGTAAGGTGTTCCAGCTGCTTTAAGGCCAACCTCCCCCAAGGGAGCATGAGCATACCATTATCCTGAAGGACTATTAATATTTGACATTATCAGCACCCATAGGCTCAAAAAGATGAAATTGAGAGACTGTTCAAGGAGATGTTGGAGGCCCAGATCATTCATCCCAGTGTTATTCATTTCTCCAGTCCAATGTTATTGGTGAAAAAGAAGGATGATAGTTGGAAATTTTATGTAGATTACCAAGCTATGAATAAGGAAACAATGTTGGATAAGTTTCCTATATCAATCATTAATAAGTTATATGGAGCGATGATGTTGTCATCAAATTAGAATGCGGCCCGTTGACATCCAAAAGATTGCTTTCAGGACTCATGGAGGCCACTACGAGTTCTTAGTGATGCTTTTTGTCCTTACCAATGCCCCAGCTACCTTCTAGTCGCTTATGAACAAGGTATTTCAGCCCTACCACTACAAGTTTGCATTGATTTTCAAAGATATTTGGTATATAGTCGGTTTGAGCTAAAACATGTAGAGCACTTGAGGGTAGTGTTAGTGACATTGAAGGAGCATCAACTATATGCCCATTTAAAGAAGTGCACCTTTTCACAGCAGAGGGCAGAGTATTTGGGACGTGGTGTCCAAATCAGGAGTAGCTGTAGATCATTCCAAGATATAGGCTATGTTGGAGTGGCCCTTACCCAAAACCCTGAAGGAGTTGTGAGGGTTCTTGGGACTCACAGGATACTACATGAAGTTTATGAAGGGATATAATTCTATAGCATAGTTGTTGATAGAGCAACTAAAGAATGATAGTTTCAAATGAGGTGTGGCAGCCACCCAGGCGTTTCAAATGGGGGGTGGTAGCCACCCAGGTGTTTGAGCAGCTGAAAAAAGTCAGGACGAGTGTCCATGTGTTAGCACTACCAAATTTCAGCCAACCATTTATAATGGAGAATGATGCATCAGGTTATGAGGTGGGAGAAGTTCTTATGCAAAGTCAAAGACCCATAGCTTATTTCACCCAGATATTGATTGCTATGGCCAGGCTGAAATCAGTGCATGAAAGAGAGCTGATGGCGAGAGTGTTGGCAATACAGAAGTGGCGACATTACATATTGGGACGACACTTCATAGTTAGGACCGATCAGAGAAGTTTGAAGTTCCTGTTAGAGCAAATGATGGTGATAGAAGAGCATCAACAGTGACTTTCCAAGTTATTGAGTTATGACTTCGAGATCCAGTACAAGCCCGGGCTAGAAAATAAAGCAATAGATGCTCTCTCTAGGCGTAGTGAAGACCCTCAGGTTATGACTCTATCTATTCCCATGATGGTGGATTGTGAGGCCTTAAAGCATGAAAGCGAGTAGGATGAGGGGTTGAGTAAGATCAGAGGAAACTTATTGCATGACAAGGATAGCCATCATAATTATTCTTTGATGGGTCAGAAGCTGCTATACCAGAGACGGTTTGTGCTTTCGAGGAAATCACCACACATCCCTCATTTGTTGCAATAATTTCATGGCACAGATATTGGGGGGAATTCAGAAGTTTAGAAGACATCATAGACTGGCAACGGAGCTATACTAGGTGGGCATAAAGAAGGATATAGAGGAGTTGGTGGCCAGTTGTGATGTGTATCAGAGACACAAATACCTAACTATGGCTCCAGGTGGTTCTACATCCTTTCGCATTACTCGAGGTGTGGGAAGAGGTGACTATGAACTTCATTGAGGGACTACCTACATCATACGTGTTTACTGTGATTCTAGTGTTGGACAGATTGAGAAAATATGCTTATTTCGTTTCCTTACACCGCAATGTTAGAGGCAACTGCATTCATTAGAAAGGTGGTTTGTTTACATGGCATACATGAGGCCATTGTGTCCAATCGAGATAAGGTCATTCTGAGCCACTTATGGAGAGAATTATTCAAGATGTAGGGGACTATCCTGAAGCGGAGTACAACTTATCACCCCCAGATGGATAGTAAGACGGAGGTGGTGAAACGCAGTGTGGAGACTTATCTTCGTTGCTTTGTA